TATACAACCGGCTCCAGCACAAGTCTGCTACTTTTTTGGCGGGAGGTCTTTACAGGAGGTTGGGCATGCAAGCTCGGCTTTGTTGAACATCATGGGAAAAAATGACGGCATGTACTGTATGTCAGTCGATGAACAACAACATCTTTACCAATTTAAACTTCCAGTCAAAACAATAGGTAAAACGCTACGCCAGTGATAAATTTTGTCAAGGCTTCCTTTGCGGATGAGTCAGTTTATTCTCCGCATGTTGTCCCATTTTTGTCAACAAAGACACAGCTGACTCACAGCAAGCGGAAACAACAACTGACCCAATGCTAACACGCTCTTTCGCAGAAAAAAGTTCATATTTTTCAAAGAAACTTTACCTTCCAGCCACAAACGTTCATCATAGAGTAGACTACAAGTCAATCCTCACTGAATTGATTTTAATGCCATACTAACTGCAGCCAAATCGTTTTTACATTGAAGACAAAAAAATGTTGATTTTACTGCACGATGATAAAAAATGCGATTAGTAATGCCTATTTCAAAAGTAATGTGCTGTCCGGCCATAAATTTGACGGGAAAGTTAGACGGGAAACGTCGGACGAGGAACCCCTCTGTGAACGGATTCATTTCACTCAGACGAGTTTCCTGTCTTCAATGAGTTTCCTGTCTAAGACGAGTTTTCCGCGTCTCTAATATGAATTCGGCTATCGAACACAATATTGGTTTCTTAAGCTGTATACAATAAGGGTCTAAATATTTAATAAAAACTTATGAATGAATGAATGTTGAACAAGCCTCCAAAAAATTAAAACATGTATGATTATCAGTGGGAAGTTTGAGCAATTTTGTCAACGGGTCTTCCTGGGTTGTGCATGATGGTCTAAACGCAGAAGCCGTTGTATTGTATATGTAGTCATGTAATTTTGACATTCATGAACTGAATTTATATTTTCTATAGTGTTTTGCATTTTCCAACGTTATATTAATAGCAGTCTTTTCGTCGTACGTGCTTAAGAACACGAGCGTTGACATAAGTTTTGGGTAAGTTTTGTCTATTTTCTATGCTAGCGGTCAACTTATTTCCTGAAATGCAAACGTACTGATCAATAACGATTAGGAAATAAAGCTGGCTACCGCGAAAGGGTTGTGAGGCGGTATATTTGTTTTTTGGCAATTACCAAATCAATCTCGTGGTTTTGTTGTTATAATAAAGTCTTTGATAACGAAACAAACTAAGGTCAAGACTAGAAATTTCGGTTACATTCAGGGCTGTCGGAATCAGATATTGACAAACGAAAAGAAAAGAATAAATACTTAATGCTGACGCTATATGACGTGTGCGTTAAATGCGAAAGATAACGCGGCAATGTGGTTGATTAATCATTCAAATTTCCTTTGATAAGTGTGATTCATTAACATGTCGATATATATAAATCAAATATGAACTTCACGCGTGTTATTGTTGAAAATGCAAGCAAGTGCATGTAAATATCTACAAACTGATTTATGTCAGCAACGGTATATAAAGATTTCAATCAATTCAGAGAATCTATAAGGTAGGTTTCTCCTGGCTTTTTCTGGTGATGTATATATCAACAAATCCCATATTACATTTGAGCATTTAGAAAGTATTATTGTGCTACTTGGGTACTCGTTTAGGGGAAGCGACATGCAAGATAACTTTCTCGATAGAAACGTTTCAAACGTGACTTTGACAAGATGATTTTCACCTCAACGCGGTGAAATTTGACCTAATTTGCGTGCGAGCCTTTGAAGATGACGTTTCCTCTTTTGAACCAATTAAATTTACAACTGAACTAACTGTGTGGTTTGTGTTAATTCGACGGCCGGTTTTATAAGAATCTAAATATATATATACTCTTTGCAAATTCTGAAATCGGTTACAATAACAGTTTTAAATGTTCGATGATGACATAAAAATAGGCGAGGTTGGCTATCTTGACGAACTTTAGAGGCTGTAAAGTTTTCTGTTGAAATTATAAAGTACAAATCAATAAGTAATAATAAAACACAATATCCTTTTGCTTGATATATACTATATGCCCGTATTCAAAAGGGATCCATTCCTCACTACACTTGATGCGATATAAACATTTCAAAATCATTTCCTCAATTGATTCAAATTCGAAAACAAAATTTGAGTTTGTCATTCTGCCATCTTTTTTTTATCCGTGGAAAATTGGAACTATAAAACTATTGCATTATTATTCATGGCAATATACTGACAAATTCGAAAAGGCGTTTTTCTTTAATTTCTGTCTCGGCTGGAATTTTAACGTGTATTTCCCAAGAAAGTTGTAGCCAAAAACATGGGACTTGTGAAAAGCTGAGAGATATTTAGCTATCGCCAAAATCTTGCAGTTAAACCGCTTTAAACATGCTTATATAGCCTTAAACCGCCTTATTAGCCTCAATACCGCCTTTAACGGGTTATGCATGCAATAACAGGAGTGTCGTTGATCGATTAGCTTACATGTGCTAATGCGGCTTGCATGTTTGTTTTAGTATGTTATCAGTCACGCGAGATGCGAAAATATGATGGCCAATAATGGCACTTGTAAATTCTGATGTATACTAAGACTGTATATATATATTCAAATAAATAATCTTGATATATTTAAATACAATTGCCAAAATTATACGGCGGACATTTTGAATGCATGCATGTTGCATGTTCACCCACAAATTTCGGAAGAATATGAAGCCATTGATGATGAGTTATTATCTGGGTAATATTCTTTCTTCCCCACCAAACCTCTTTAAACATCCGAAAAACGGCAAATAAGACTTATCGTGCATGGGACCATCAACATATCTTTAGTTTTGGCTACGTCTTAAAACTTATTAATGCATCTCGGAATGAAAACTATCTTTAGTCTTCAGTTCAAAGAGCTTCATTTGATGTGGAAATTCTAAAAAGTATATACATAGTGCATACATGCACGCATGGCTTTAATTATGCTTTGTTTTTGCGACACGGTAGTTAAAGCTGCATCGTTGAAATATTTATCTCTCATCTAGAGTTCTTGAAATTTTTATGTTGAAAGACGGAACGATACAGATAAAAACCCAGTATGGCAGCCCGACTCTGCATGTCTACTTTATCATTTTCAGGAGGGGAAATGCTGAAATTGAGAGATAAATGACTCACAAAATATATCTTGAATCAGTTAATGAAATAATCATAATGTTTGAAATATGATGCTCGAAATGCTTGATAATGTTTGAAATTATACAGCCAAAGAAAAAAGATAATAATCGTTCATATTCCTTACCTGCACGAGTGGCAAGTGTTATTAAAATTGTGTCGAAACTTTAAAAACTTTGAAAAATAACAATTATATATAACCTACTATAAAGCCGGTTGAACCAGAGTTGCAAAAAGAGTTCAACCTTACTCCGGGTAGGATTTCAAGTTTTCAAAAACTTCCTCAAAATAACGTTACGTCACTCAGTGAGTCAAGTGGCAACCAGCATTAAGAAATATTTGAATTTTTGGCACTTGCATGTGATCAATTAGATTGTTTAACTTTAAACCTTCCTCACAAACCTCATTCAAAGCAAACCTTCCTCTGGGGGGTACCCGCGTACCCGCAGCTTTTTTTCAACTCTCGGTTGAACAAAGTTTTTGAAGTTAAGTAAATTTTTAGTAGGTTTTAATACAAGCAAGAAACAGCGTGATCGCACTTTCTTGTAATATAACTCTGGTAAAATCATAAAATTTGGTAAAAATGCCAAAGGCAAATAACGCTTTCGATGTTTCGTCCTCATGCACTGTCTTTTTCTCGGGAGTTGCTCTAAGAGATCCAACTCTCTTATGCATGCATGACGAATTAAGGCCCTTGCGGCGTGGAAACGTAAACGTGTTTATCGTAGTTTTTAGGCAACTGTTATATATATTAATGATATATATATACCACATTTGATGCGCCTGCATGCATTCTAAAGGCCATTCAAACGATCCAATTCATTTTTGACGTATGGAATGTAATTTGTTATTGATAAAGCAGTACTGTGTCGGCCTTAGTTGATCAGTTTGCTGTTCATAATATATATTGCAAGTCAACAGACTATAAAACATCCATCAAAAGGAACTGACAAAATTGGATCATGTGAACAGACCTTAAAACACTGTAATACACGATTCTGAATACAAAATAGCCAATTCTGTCATGCCAATACCTATAGTCAAAGTCAATAATATACAAATATTAACGGTTCAAAGAATCGGTTCCATTCAGTTACAAATTATCTATAGTGTATCTATAATACGTATATGGCATTTCGTTATTTTTGCACGTTTTGTGTAAGAATCAATCACCAAAGCCATCAGTAATATATATATATGCATTCCAGGCAAAGCAAACACAAGCTGTGTAAATAGCGATATATAATAACGTACGGCTTAGAAACAGGAATTTCCGAATATAAAAACGTGATATAGACTATAGTTAATCCTTCCTAATCCTTCCTTGCGGTAAAACGTCATTTTATGCTCGGAAAAAAACAGAAAAATAACATAAATTACATGATTGTGACCGATATCAACAACATGACAAAACGTTTTGATGTTGACTGAAATGCATTTCGTGTGAACTTAAAGAGAAATATGATTTGGTCTAATGACATATTATTATTATTCAGTCTGATGAATTGTTTAAGGAGATACTTGCTTGTTTGTAATTACGCGAATCCCCGACTCAAACGGACAAAAACGTTCTCTAAATGCCTCTTTCAGCTCCTGAAAACGTCTAATAATTTTTATCGATCGAAAGCTCATAGATAATCTTTTGATAACACTTCAGAGCGTGCATTGCGGCTGCGGGGGTTGCATGGAAGGTCACGTTTGTTAAGTTTCCTTCGATTGTTATCGTGACAAAGTAATTAAATCATTTTAAGCTATCGATATTTATATATGGCAGTGACTATCGCAAAAATGCGGAATAAAGGTATCTGTATAGTTCAGTCTGTTGTTTATATACTTCAGTTACTTCAGTACCGATGGTGTCTCCAAAGTACACGGGATGCACATTCAAATATCGAAACTTAGTCAACGAAAAAAAAAGCGGGATAACACTTCCCGATGATTCAAGATGTATGGTCGAGTTCATTTAGGTCAGAAGATGTTCCTCATTGACCCATGCATATATGTACAATTAAGTATCGACTGCGCCCTACCGCGTTCGAATGAGTTCTTTTATCAACACGCACAAATTCTAAGCGTTGAAATTCTAAGGGAATTTCCAGTATCTTCGTATTTCCTCGATCTATTTCGTTTCTCAGAATCCCTGACATCATTACCTTTACGTCATTTCCAGGAACAGACATTTACAACCCTATGTTATACTGTATAATTGTTTTAAATTCCGTTATAGTATTTCTTTGAATCGCTCTCCTATAGATGGCTTAGCACTAAATTGGCTATTGACAGTTGCATATAACCTGTAGGTAGGTAGGTGCATGTGTTATCAATACACGTCTGATATGCTTGTCAGATTGTTGCCAAAGGTTTATGTGAAATAACAACGGTTATTTCCTACGGTATTTTCAGAAAGGCGAGAAGCACAAGTTTTGCTGACGAGGCAAAATACTGCGTGACTGTATATAATTTGAACGTTCGAATTTAATTTTTTGTACATATGTTTGGTGTTTCAGAGTTGGCATTGATACTGCAAGGCCATACAGCTGCGTTTGATCAGCGCCCGGAGAAGCAAGGTGCGTTTGAATAATTGCATACGTTTCGCTTATACGAGTACAATATATATGTATTATTAATATGTGTAAGAACGTATTCTTCTTTTGAAAGCGTTTATTTTTGGCTGTAAAACATCAGATTGGTACAACATCAATTGATCTAAATTTGTAATTAAACGATAAAGACAAACTTTCTTCTGAATTTATTTTAATACACTGATTGTAAATATTAAAATATACATACGAATTTTATCACGAGCGTCAAACGGAACTGATGACGTGTTTGTAAGAAGAACTTTATAGGTCAAAAATTATATAATTATATACTCATCAAATTGATGAATTGTGGGGCGAAGTACGTGTGATCACGAACGTGTCAACAAAGACCAGACGAATCAGATTTATTCAGCATTCTCATAATATACAGTTTCGTTATTCCGGTTACGTGTGGGTCACTCACACTCAGTCAGACTGAACGCGATCAATCGTCCCTACCAATAACCCATGGTAGCACGTTGAACCGTTTAAGAAGAAGACGTTGTGTGAATCATCGAGAGAAATTCACAGTCGGTTTGAAGGTGCCTGGAATTTGTAAATATGATATTATAGTGAGATGTCTATAGACGCTTTCATTTATGTGGTTATACTGTTGTACGTTTAAGCATAATATATGTATGTAAAAACCTTAGGACTTAAATGCTTTGATATCGATTATATAAATTAATTGCCTATTATTATATATAATGCAAATTTCATTTCAGACGGGGCGTCCTTGAGCTTAGAAACATCACGTTTCCGATATAGCTACTCATATATTGTTATATAGCATTATAGCATTACATAGCTACTCATTATACCACTGATAGATAGATACAGATTGTCCTAGATTTGGGGGAGATAATTTCGGCTAGTCATTTGAGAATTGAGATAGCAATGTAATGTAATACGGTATAAACCACCAGGGGCGGATCCAGACTGATGCTACCGATGCTAAAGCATCGGTCAAAATTTTCTAATAATATGCGAAATGTTTCGTAATACTCACTTTCGTAGCTTAATCACTCATTTAAACTTTGAAACAACACACATGTTTAAAAACTTAAAAAGTGAGTTGAGAATTGTCCAGCATCGAAAGGAGACGAAGGTAGCAGCAGAATTTGTCAATTTGGCGCTTTTTTATCGCGTAGCCGATATTTTTGTCACGCTTTAAATTCGACAATGTTTTAAAGTAAAATATATGCAATTAGATATGTAGTGGGGAATATTTAGTGTCTATGCAGCGCCAGTGGGGAATAATTTGCGCCAGTGAAGCACGATTTAGCAACAGTCCCGAGTCCTCTAACCGTGTTTTCCCACAGGAAGTCTATTGTATTCTTGTGGAATTTGAGTTTTACTGATGCTACTAATGTATTTATACATATCCACTGATGCTGACCGCCGCTTCAACTCTTGCATGTTTAATTTTTCATCGCCCGCATTTCTCGAAGCAAAATGGCGGACGATATGCAAATTAGCAGCGAACTTTGCTCATTCTTTCGAGACGAAAAGGCTATTCAAATAGAGTCGATTAGGAAGGAATGTGAAATGAAAGCCTTGTCAAAAGTCGAACAAACAAAAGCTTGGGATCCCTTTCGAGGTGGTAAGCATACTCGTGATTTGTACGCCGAGTTGCTTATTCCTCGGCATATAACGAAGGAATGGGAACGTCAGGGTGGAGAGTTGAGAGCTTTAAAGTGAGTAACTTCAATGACATATTAAATTGTATGATTTTTTAAAAGTAAACATGTTTCAACATCTCATGATGCCATCCTCAGTATGATATATTGAGTAATTGATACTGGGAATATGTATTTACGATTTAAGATATATTGATATTGGGAAGATGTATTTACTAAATTTACTTGCACACAGCCTGAGTAATATACGGGCATTTTGTGCTAGAAATTTGTTTCTTGGCGTAATATGATAAACTACAGTCCTCAGCTGCAAAGGTAGAACAGAAGTAGCAAAACCTCATATTTATAACTATTGCTTGATTCAGACTAGACTAGACATTAATTAATGACATTATAACATTACCAAGCCCATGAGGTTCAACTGGAGTAATTAATTTGCCATCCAGGGGCTGGGAGGTCTTTATATTCAGAGGTTGCAGAGGCAATATGAAAGCATAATATTTATCAAAGTTAATATGTTTATGATATCAAAGCAATATTCATACCAATTACATGACCTTTCACATTGTTTCAGAACCCTGGGAGATGGAAATTGCTTATACCGAGCATGCTCCAAATGTTGTTGGTAAAGACCAACTATGGCATGTTTTGCGAATGTTGACAAGCATTATTTGCCTTAACATTTTATAAAAAGATTGACTGTGTTATTATCTGCTTCTGTTGGAAGATCCTTTGCCTTAACATTTTATAAAAGATTGACTGTGTTATTATCTGCTTCTGTTGGAAGATCCTTGCCTTAACATTTATAAAAGATTGACTGTGTTATTATCTGCTTCTGTTGGAAGATCCTTTGCCTTAACATTTTATAAAAGATTGACTGTGTTATTATCTGCTTCTGTTGGAAGATCCCTTGCCTTAACATTTTATAAAAGATTGACTGTGTTATTATCTGCTTCTGTTGGAAGATCCCTTGCCTTAACATTTTATAAAAGATTGACTGTGTTATTATCTGCTTCTGTTGGAAGATCCCTTGCCTTAACATTTTATAAAAGATTGACTGTGTTATTATCTGCTTCTGTTGGAAGATCCTTTGCCTTAACATTTTATAAAAGATTGACTGTGTTATTATCTGCTTCTGTTGGAAGATCCTTTGCCTTAACATTTTATAAAAGATTGACTGTGTTATTATCTGCTTCTGTTGGAAGACCCTTTGCCTTAACATTTTATAAACATTGACTGTGTTATTATCTGCTGCTGTTGGAAAATCCCTTGCCTTGAACAATTTATAAAAGATTGACTGTTAGATTAGCGTTCCTGATACGTTCTTTTGCTGTGGCAGTTGTCAAGTCTTCCTGCACTGTTTCACCTTTTACCGAGCAACGAGGCATAATATTTTAGAGCAACAATAAAAGGCAATGCAGGACTATTTTTTGTGTTGTGAAACGTTTTTCACTTTCCATAACAAAAGATAACCCGTATTTCCTTTTCAAACAGTATGAAGTACGAAAGGAGGCATCTTTGACGTCTGGTATGTTTGCAAAATAATGATAATGACTAATGCCCATCAGACTATATATGCAAAGGTAAGTGAAAAATGTATGTTTCAGATTAGGTATATTTGCCAAGATACAAATACTTATAAGCAAAATTGACGATTGATTTCGGCGAACAAATTTTCAAATTTCCGCTCCCAAAATGCGGGAAATCGTGTTTGCGAGAGTCTAGATTTCAAAATTTTCCGGGGGAGCATGCCCCCGGACCCCCCTAGGAAGCCTCGCGCCTGCGGCGCTCGAATTCAGCATTAGTCAACCAAAATCGTGGATCCGCCCCTGTAAACCACTATACATGGTTGTCTAAATGAATCCATGATCTTAAAAACTAATATCACATAATTATTCTTATATGTTCTCTGTTCTGTCCTTAGGGTAATTCGTCTTTGAGGAGCTTCGTGGGATTGCATGCAGCCAATAAGGTGAGTCGCATGTTTACTCTGGGACAAAGAGTTCTGTTTAAAAATAAAGAGTTTTGTTTTACGTACGTGCAGACTGCTGTGCTCGACGCTAAAGGCACTTTCCTGAAGGGTGAAACGACGAATTTGGCTGCACGATTGCTTTGTATTATATTGTTTGTTTGATTCAGTGTGAGAATTCAATATGATCTTGCTTGCCATGTGGTGTAATGTACCTCAAATTTGCGTGACACCTGGCTAATTCGACGTATTGGGCACCCTGCGTTTTTTCAACGCCTTAAATAACTGACAAGTTCAAAGCTTTTCCAAACACGTTCAAACGCATATCGCATGAAAATATTTGCTTTGACCAGGAATTATGTAGTGAATATCATTCACCGACCACCCATAGACGCAGTTACATAAACTGACGCCAAGAGCTCGTAATAAAATACTTCGCATGCTGTTTACATTGCTATAGTAAACTTTTTAAGTAAACTTTTTTTAATCGTTTAAAGTAATTATCATATACATGTGCAAGCCATTATTCGGAAAAGGGGGTCGTTAATTGAAACTGTAAAGGACAGCGCATGCAAGCTGGTAACAAAAATCATGTCAAGTTTCGGTGTCTCGTTAAATTGTAATCAAAATATTTGTGCAAGAGACAAGCCCCAGCGTATACGAGATCCACGCATTTTCGGCAACTACAAGTGTATATATTGCAACAGTGTATCACTATATTGCATGGTTTCGCTTATAATTGTCTTTTCATCGCCGACACTATAATTGTAATAGGCTTTTAAAAACAGAAACAATTAATTATTGACGGTTTAATGATTTAAATGTGTTCAATGAAAACACAAGCGTCAAACCATGAAATGTGGTGAAACTCAATGGGTAAAATTATGGTCATTAGATACTTATGACATTATAACATGACGTCAATTAATACTTTGCTATTTTAGGCCGACCATAATAGAGTTCTTTCAGCCATCATATCAAGAATAAAAATATATCTCTCTATATAATGTTGAATTTCCGAGTTCTGATTTACAATAAAAACAAGCAATTGATTTCGAACTTTTTTTTAACCACAAGGCTATTGTACACTGACCATCATCTTAGCATATAAACATGAGCAGCATTTGGACATATATTTTATGAGATTAAGAATTCCTGCATGGTTTCTATCACCGGGCCTATCAAAACAGCGGTATTTCAATGTTATTTCATGCATGTATCAAAATAAACATGCTTTAGCCTTCTTGTACCGGCGTGTTGTATAGAGATATGAACCGCTTTGAACCGTTTACGAACCACGAATTACGTCAGAGATGCGTCTGTTAGGTGTGGGGGGGGGTGTAAAAGCGGTTCTGACGATGCTATAATCCAGTTTGGATAACTCCATAGTTCGCATAAAAGTTAATTAAATCTGGTATTAGACTAAATGCTTGAAGACTGCGGTAGATTCGCGTTGAGTTTTGGAAAGGAGAACGATTTTTGACGCTTTGAATTTGTTGTAATTTGTTCAGTGACACCGTCGAGGTATACGAGTCTGCTATTTGGCTAAATGTTTTGGTGGCTAAACTACCTAGAGACAACGCGTGCATTTATTTTCGTGAGTTTTAATACAAAATGCGTAGTTAAGTGAATACATGTATACGTCAATACGACGCCTGAAATGTTTTTTTTTCATGGTGGTTCTATTGTTTGTAGCTACTGTTTATATGCGATATACTGATAGCTTTCAAGTCAATAGTACACTCCTATTACAACAACACTTGCCTTGGCAAATGTCTACTGGAGATAAATTGGTTTCGTGATAGGATAAATCGCATCAGATTATTTCAGTTTTGAAACCGCAGTGGAAACGCAAAGGTATAGATCTACGGCTATGTATATGAAATAAAGATGGTCTCATTTGAATCGAGAGTTTGTGAAATCGCGCCTATTGCATAATCAACAGGCTGATGTGCTTGCGAATTTCGATTATATCTGTTTGTTATTTTTGAAAATATATTGTTTGAATTTGGTTGTTTATAACCTCGCTTGATATAAAGCAGTCCGACTACAGATGCACTGCAGAGTTGAACCAAATCGCGAAAAACCTTTCATTCCGTCCTGCATTTTTGCTTGCGTGTGTAGTTTGTCGTGACTGGCAATTGACAGATACAAATATGCTACCTGCAGTATTTATGCCAATGTTTTCCCCAACTATTCCAGTCTATGCGGAACTTAAAAGGATCTGCCAGCCTTGCACACGAGGTCCTCAAGCGAAACTTTCTGTGGTACACAATTCACAAGTATAACAACCTTTGGAAATCGGTCTGAGCGACACCACATTGTATCAAACTATAATAGGTGACCACTCATATAGAGACATATCGTATGACGCGTCTTTTTCGACATAAAGCCGGCAGTGGATATTTTAATGATTTATTTGGGGTCCGATTGGTACGAAGGCTATCCAGCGATGGCGCTATCCACCGGATAGTGATTTTTCAGCCGTTGTAGGAATGCTTAAAAAGGAATGAAACTAAAGATTAGAAGCAGAGAATAACTTTTTACTTTCTTTGCACTTCCAGGTTCGACCTGAACGCTCAAGTAAACAACGCGGAATTGCAGCGCGATGCAAACTCCGCTAAACAGTTCCGAGGAAATCCTCTTTCAGAATGACACCAAAGTCGCTCTCAATACGGACGTTATCAGCGCCATCTTGGGAGCCGTGATGGTGTTTACTATCTTCGGAAATATTCTGGTCTTATTTTCGTTCCACGCGCAACCATCACTGCGCAAGGTCAAATACTTTCCCATCTTCAGCCTAGCTTTGGCGGACCTGCTGTGCGCGGTCACCGCGATGCCGCTGTACATAACGAAAAAAAACGCCTCGTCGGAAAACATCGACGCCCGATTGGTCTGCGATCTTTACCGATTCTCGTACTTCTTCACCGAGTATGCGTCGATCATGAGTTTGATGGTGATAAGCATCGAACGATTTCTCAACATCAAATTTCCTCTCAAGTATATGAACTGTATGCGTGCACGCGTTATGATTTGCGTGCTCGTTGCGTGCTGGGTCGAAGCGTTGATCGTTGCAACGATGCCGTTTTACTGGCGTAACGAGAAAGACAAAGAATGCACGAACTCGCCGACTTCGACGTGGAGCATTGTAGCAATATCTGTGAACGTTTTTCTTCCATTCTTAATCATGTTCTCGTCTCATTGTTATATTTATTGCAAGACGCTGTGTGAATTCTGTCAAGATCACAGTGCTGCACATGTAAGATTGAACATTATCCTTTACCAACTTACAAGCCCTTTTACTCTTGCGATTTTTGTGTGATTTTCTGCTTTTAAGAGGTGGGAAAGAGTGGGAAAGTCAGGGATGAGCAGATAAGGGCACCTACACATCAAAGCATTCAAGACTACCCACTCGTTTACATCTATCAAAAAGGAAATCACACCGAAATCAAAATAAAAATTGCAAGTTTAGGCGGGGTTTAATACCAAGGTTGTATCGCGAATCTCACGAGGTAAACTTATCATTTATCATGTCATTTCTTTTTCAGTCGGCAACACCCGATCATCGTCGACGGAAAACGGTCGTACGCGTCGAGAAATGGAAAATAGAGAAAAGAGCAACGATCAGTTTTTCCGTTGTGGTCGGCGTGTTTATAATCTGCTGGGGTCCATCGACTATTTACTATTTCACGGCCAATGTTTCTCCCGAGACGTTCGCTGACCAATCGTTCAAACGCTACAAATCCATCGTCGGTGCAACGATGAAGATCCTAACGTTTTGCAATTCATTCATGAACCCTGTCATATACTTCTGGCTGAACATCGATTTTCGGAAGGCTTTTATACGAATTTTGAAACGAGAACGGCAAATGAGGACGCGCGCGGGGACTGGGAATTCCGTAACAATGACCTTATTTGGCAGCTTACATCAAAACAATGTCAATCATGTTTAGCCAGTAAGCCAGGAGCCAGGGAATGGCGGGAAAGAACTAGGACCAGTTGTCAAATGAAAATCCATTTCTCGGTTGAAACAACCCGATATCTTTTGGGATATAAATTATTTCGGCTTCAAATTTATGTCAGGACTATAGTTCTTACAACTAAATATAATCACAAAATTTCGACTAGTTTTATAAAGAATAACAAAAGATGGAATCGATTGAATACTGCAGAATGGATTTGTATTTTGACAACCCTCCTGATTGGCGCGCTGATTGGCTAAAAAATGAAAGCGAGATCACTTGAATGTGATCTACATGAATTTCATGATACGAACCACTGATCTCGTATAACACTGGATACAGTAATTAGTTAAAGTATCTATCAGAAACGAAGTCAGAATCAACGAACTGCTAAAGAACCAGAACAGAATGTGAAATATTTAATGCATGTGTGATCCTCACCCGCAAATGACGAAATATTTTAAGGACATAGCTAAAAAGCCATTATATGCACGGAACTCTATTTGCATAGATAAGATCTAATGTAGAGCAGTTTCCGCATATTATTTGCATGGGTGGTACCAAGAAGTTCTAATTAAGAACGCCCACATTCAAGTTATCATATTTGAGAGTAATTTAACAACTATGAAAAAAGTTTATTCTAAATATATAAAGTGCTAATTTTATGACTTGCGTCTTTGCAAAATAGCTGAAATAGTTGTTTTAGTTGATCGAGGTTGGGCCAACCGCAATGTTTACATTCCCTGGAATAAAATTTTCCCATTTAACGAAACGTTTTGGGCACAGATGTCGCGAGTAAAAAGGGGGAAAACTGTAAAAGAGATTATTATTATTAATTCGTTTTCTTCTAATCCTAAAAGATCTGGAATTTGTCATTTGCAAGTGATTGCAAGACAGCATAGACGGTTGGATAGATAGATATGGATATATATAAATGGATATGGATAAACATGGATAGATATATATTAATGGCAGAATTTCCAGGCTGTGCATATCGGATTCTAGGCATTCCATACTCTACAATGTAATCAGTAGATTCTACTACAGTCACTTTCAATAATTTATTAGTATTTGAATCTAGTTAAATGATTATTTTCAACTAGACACAAATACTAATAAATTATTGATCTACCTATTAAAATGTACAGTACAGGATGTTTAGAATCTACATGTAGTTGTATTCAGTCTCCGTAGCGATACTGGTCAATGAAACCATAATGCACTTATAAGAAAATTATAGCAGGTAAAAACCCAGCCCATGTAAACAGGAAATCTTATCAGATTTAAGCACGTTGGAAACTTACCAGAACCTTCTGCTGATATTAGCCCCTACATCTACATAATTATGACTTTGCATACATTATATGCACGTACATTCATTTTGAGTGTAAGGAAAACTCTAAGACCTCTAAAATGGTCACTTGAGTCCATCTTTGAAAGGTCTAGAGGTTTATTTCGTACGAGTTCAATTGTAAGAGAAACTTGGTCTCTGGTTCCCACGGTCCTCGCATGAATCACGATTCTCGCCTCACGCAATACCAGTTTCGTTTTTAACCAATCAAGATGTCGCGTGCGACGTTCGTCGCAATTCGACGCAAGTTCGCGAGCTTCAAGGAACTTCGTACGAGGACTGGCCGCCCCCAGAAGAGAAAAACCGTGTGAAACGAAAAACTCGTGTGCAACGCGGAAAATCGATATGGGAAGCCTATATACAACGAATGAGACTTATACATACCAAAATTTACAATAACGAATATTACACCAAAACAGGTGAAATTATAACAATGCGTGAAATGGATTTGGATATTGAAAAAGTCTTTATGGAACAAAACGATCACATGCTATTGTTAAGATGATAACACGACTACCAAAATCGTGTTATTTACTTATTTCAACACCTCAAAGTCCATTTTTTGCTTCGTTAAATCCCGGTAACCAGGCTCATGCGAACAGCCTTTAAGAAGCACTTTCATATAGGCCTTCGATTTGGCAGAAATGCACAGGTTCAGGCCGTTCAGCTTTACCGTTATAGCACTGGGCATGGCCCGTTCTCAAGAGGTTGACATGTGCTTATAGTTATATTGCGTCTTGGATTGGAATATTTTACACACTTGGTTGGGAAATGACGCATACCATTCTCTAGTGACATATCTTAAATAAACATACTGATACGTGGGAGATTCAATATTGAGTAATACTTCAATTTACCGTTAAAACTGAGTTTTGCATCGATCTCAAATCAGAAGTAACAGCATTTCGGAGCGATCGACAGTTATAGATACGCAAGTTAAACTTTCCCCGCTCTATTATTAGTTAATTGAGCCAGGGTTTCGTTCGAGATTCTCCCAGAAGCTAGCTGGCATGCAGGAAGTATGGTTTCAGTTTGTATAACCTTATATATCTCTCCAATTCACATGGGCAGCAGAGATCATATGATAAGGGTTGAATAAACTATTGAAAGACATAAAGAAAGTATATTTCACATAAACATTTGATCGAAATAGAAAGACGGTATATATTTAGAAAAGCCAAATATCTCAGTTAATTAAAGAGGCGAAATTTGCAAGGCTGTGGGAATTCGACAGGTAAGTATATGTTTAATTTATTTGAATATACATAAACTTTGAACCTTTAATATATACATGTATCTCAACAGCCAATAATACACAGAATGTGGACTCTATTTCATAGTCATATAATTATATACAACTTTTTTACTAGTTATTCCTTTCATATATATAGCTATCATAATGTATATAACGATTCAGTATATTTGAAGTGCTTGGAGTTCATGGCTATATATGCATACATCAAATAGACTCAGTTTAAATAATACTTTGTCGGCATGTGTCAAGATGTTTCTAGCTATAGACTAAATGTTAGACTATATTCCTCATTAAAAAGATTATCTTAAACGCTATATATTCTAGCTACATCTTACTGCGGAGGTAAGCTAAGGTAGTTATCACGCCCGTCAGCCAATATAGTGCTTTATAGAATTCACTTTAGGTTACATATATATACATTGGATGTAATTAAACTCGGCTGTTTCAAAGCACTTTAAACGGGCGCGCTCCTAATTCAATTAATATAGTAACAATCAAATTTCATAGAAAATGTACATCCATACTTTCGGTGCATACATACATACTGTAGGTTCGTATTTCAATTGAAATTTAACGTAGCTAGTTGTGTTTTACATCAAAAGCAAGGCTATATAGTGCATAATAGGTGTCAATATCAAAACATGAATTGCCCCAACAATGCCCATTTTCAGTTTTCATTACAGCGCCGCGGTAGGCATCGTGCGCTTGTACAGTGACATGCAGAGAGCCCAATACAATATAATGGAGTCCGATACAAATTAAGCCAACCTGTTTGGGTATATTGTGTGAATTAAGATTATACTACTGATGAAATTATATCATATTGTCAGCATGTATAAATAGACGCTAAACAAAGACTGTGTGATATTTGATCATAATATTCATGAGTCGGTATGCATTCATATATACGTGCAGGTATAACAACAGTTTTTAAAAAACAATATCCATGCATTGGCTATATCCAGAAGTGACATATATATCGATGATCTTCCGTTTGCAATAAATGCGAGGAAGTTCTCTTGTTAAGGATGTTATTTTATGAAGTCTATCAGCATGTGACCACGGCATGCTATGCCGTTTAACAGAGACCTTGCCGACAACTTGTAAACAATAAAATACATAAACTTATAACACAAAAGAAAAGTGTGTTTTAAAAACTCGAGAGGGTTTAGACGATGCCACGCTCTAAATATCTAAGTAAATAGAAGTAGCTTAGGAGATTGAACTGCGCATGTGTCATGGAATAATTAATTTTAAGGATCTCTTACATCCTTGAAAATTCAAAATTCTCCTTCTTAGCAATATTTGGTGTTTTTCAAAGGTGCTGAGCCAAGGGTACTTTGACAAATATTCGCAGTATATTTTCGTATATAGCATAAGGTATATACTACATTTCATGACCATTGTTATGAATAATAGTATAAATTATAATAAAATAGTCCATTCATACTTCATTTAATGCATATATATATATATATATATTAATATAATATATTATATATAATATTATATAATATATATATATTATATATATTATATATATATATAAATATATAAATATATATATATATATAAAATGTGGATATCCTAACTTAATTATCGTCAATATTGTATTGTATAATAATTCGTTTGCAAAATTAAATGATTTCTCCCCGTGGCAACAAATGAGATGCCCTTAGCCCGCGTGTTGTAAGTACGGATAATGTTATAAGTAATAAGTCAAATATTTGATAGCGGTTGGCTGTATTTGCGCTGTGAAGACTTAATATTCTATTCATTGTTGCATTTTTTATTCAAACAGTCTTATATGACCTTAATACAATCAATCGATGTTATACTACAGGTATTCACCTGCGGTTTCAAGCTTCTGACAGCGGGAGGCCTCGAAACTTGCCGCCGAAGTGTTATATAAAAACAAAGCGCGCAGCACGTATTTTCCAGGCTTCCAGCAACATTTCAAAATGGCAGACTGGACTAAATAAAGTTGACAATACAGCGGAAGATTTGCAAAACGTAACTCCGTTGAATGTGCTTGTTTATTTCTCTTTGGTTCGAAAAAGGACTTTATTCTACACGTAAGCAATTCATGAATCTTCGATTATTATCAGTCTAATTTTAGACTTATACGTTGGATATAGAACCGTCCGTCTATAAATATGAGATCGAATATTAACTGTGAACTTTATTGCTGAGACTTTCAACAGCTAGAAAGTTATCATATTTTCACCTTTACTTAGAAAATTGTCCAGCATTCGAACAAAATTTACTTAATATATCTTTCAGTGTGATTACTAACAAAATTTCTCACATTTTCGAATACTCTAGAAATCCCCAAATCGCCCATCCATAACCATATAGCGTGACGCATGCACAAACATCCAACGCAATGTTGCGTGCATTTATTTCCGTGAAATCATTAGATTTATTGCTGTGAATTTAAGCTTCAAGTGGTGTGTATACCTGCTTACTGCACGTATAGATAGTCCTCAGTTAAGCTGCAACTTTAATTGATTGAAACTCAACATCATGATATTTTAATATCAGTCTTATCGCTAATAAGTAATAACATTAAGGAAACACATGAAAAAAAAATCACCTCAAAATAGAACTGAAAATTTTTAACCTTTCAATTTTCTCTTCGTAATAGAAAACTGCACGGTTATATTGGGCCGCTTTCGTCATTATAAGTAATATCAAAAATCAACAATTTTGGACTTTTAATTATTTCTTGCAACTAGAACAATTATCGGTGATTCAAGCGGCATATATTACGAATATGATTATACGTGCATGCCGAAAGCATACGTTTTATGCAAAATGCTCTTTTGCTCCGCTGCATGGGAGGTGTCATCTGCTTCGAATAGATAAGGGCGCTTGATGGGCATGTAACGTGCATTGCTGTATCGATAATCAAATGATGGATTTGATGATACGGCTCAAAAAATGTCGAATATTTCAATGCTTGATACTTTTTTTTATGACAAGCGCGAGTTGTTGAGATTCGACATCTAGAGTAGCTACAGTTGACTGCGGAGGAAGAACAAATTGTGGTAAGTGTTTCATGCATGCAGCTGCGCTATATATTTTCTACATATAAATGCATATGCATGCGGGAAGTTTTAAGAAGCGAAAAGTTGCATATATCTGCCTAGAAAATGATCATTTTTAAACGCATGCTTTTTAGCTAAACTGCTATAGAAGTTAGAATCAATAATATCAAGTGCATTCGGTCGTGAATTTACTCTGGAAACACACAAAGAAAAACGAACCGAAGCAAATTAGAGCTACATATAAGAGAGGTAGCTCAAATCGACTAATTTTATTTTAATAAAAAGCTAGAGTTCCATTCAAGAGTTAGTTGTCCTTACGTTGAAGTATATGTTTACATTCATATATAAGATGCCACGGCCAACTGAATGCTCAAAGGAGATCTAATGAAACAAAACACTACTTGAAAATAGAAAATATTGGCTTTATTTCAACGAGGGTGGCGGAACAAAGACATGCAATATACTAATACTTTTTCTTTTCGAAGACGTCAAATTAAATAATAATACTTCTTAAATTGTATATACGTTGAAGAATCCGACTGGAATAATATGAGAAAAATTATCACATAATGATATTACAACTTGAAACTCTTGAAAATTATTTTCATATGGTATTCGAACACAGCGTTGAAAGATATACCCGAAATTCTAATTACTCGTATACAAATTAGAGCATCGTAAATTAACATCGAATAACGATAGGACAAAAGGCGTCACTTGAGTCGGACCCTTTGTTTGCGTTTGCAAAATGCGGAAACCTTCTCTTGTTCACTATTTGGCTTTCCGGCTGGAAAATTGCCCATTGCTTCCAACGATTGCCTGATCGAAACACGAGAGCAAACGTTCAAACGCTGAGAAGCCCTTCTGCAGGTCCGCTATTTATTCAACGAAAATACATCGCTGGCATATATAATTAGTGTAATTAGCGCCTGTTTTCCACTGAAGCTGACAAACCGAACTCTTTCATGGGATATTTTTGCCATGTAGTTTTTTACATCATAAAATGTTTTGGCAAACAAAATATATATATCACGTATACGGTTCATCGGTTGCTTTATAAAAACCAACAAAAGCGAACTGTAATTATGATGGACCTTTTGAACGCTTATTACATGCATGACAACGTATATCAATCTGACCAAATAATATCGACGGCTCATGGAGCAGCACGAATATTTTCTAGAAACCAAGCAAATGTGGATTTTTAAGCAAATGTGGGCAACCAGAATCTTTAATATTTATTTTTTGGATTTACTTTTCTATCGATTTTCTTTCTTTTCTTAAGCGAAAGAAGTCTGCAAGCTAAGTTCATATCCTGAACACAGCCTGGATTTTCGCTTAAGCGCATGCGCAGTCTTACAAAGGACAAGGTCGTGCCATTGCATGCATATGTTGAGAGAACAGCCACGAAACTGAAGAGCTGAATTGTATTTAACGCACGGGCCCTAGAGAAGAGTTGAATTCGGCATTTAACCTGTCCTTGCTAATGGACGACTTGCGCTTTAGACTAGATTTTGATGGAAGTAACTAGAAGGAAATAAATCACCACAGCTAGAAAGATCTTACTTTAATTACTGCAAATGCAAGTTTGGTTGCGAAATTTTGTAAAATACGTAACTTTTGTAAAATGTTTAACTAAATTAGCTACAAACTTCCGGCCGTAATTCAAAAGTATACAAAATTCGCGAACTTTGCATGGCTATATTTTCCGTAATTTACAACAACTCCCAGCCAAACTTGGCAGTTTTACTAATTTTAGTGAGCTCTTTCAGTAAATGTCCTTTTTATCATCGATGTAAGAAATTAGCCTAAAGCACAAGTCAAGTCGTCCATTGGTACATCACCTCTACAATCATTATGTTTGTCACTTAACATCTTACCGCCGCGAGTCAAAATGTAACTGCGATAATAACACATTGCATCTGCGTAAACGAAATGTTCATTATTAAAGGCCATTTCAATTTGTCCACATTTGCACATAAATAGGAATTTCATGAATAATTGAATGTGAAAATTTAGATTCTGAGACACTCAACATCCGAACCGCAAAGCATGAAAGATCAATAGTTTAAGATGCCGCAAAATTCTATTTAAAACCATATTAGCGCGTTAAATTTAACGCAATTGAACTTTGAATTCTTATACAAAAGTATAAAACACGAAAGGGAGAAGAAAGCTTCGGGGAAAATACTTCGAATCGTAAGTAAAATTTAACATATATAATGTGTGTGCAAACGGCTTTTATTCATGCATATATTGACATAGGAAAATAATGAACAGCGTGATTCGATGATCCACAGTTGAATATATTTCATTTTCAGTCTACCCATGTTAACTACATATGATAGTTTTTTGTTTACCATTAGGCTGACGTGCTCGCAACCGTCACAATTCGCAAAACCCCCGCGAAAGTTAGGTTAAAATGTGAAATATATTTGTTATCTTAATATATGAGTGGACGTTTGCTAATAATTTCGGCTCGCAACAGGCAAACGGAGAGCGTGTTGACGTGCGTTCCCAACAATGTGACGAAAATTGAATTAATGTTGCCGTTGGGAGAAAATTTCTCAATCGCTACAAACTCTGCAGTAATTTATGCGCGGGAAATATGAACCGCGCTGAAATTTGCAAACCAATATAATAGAAATAACATCAAACGCGGTGGAAAAATTCTTCGGATTGGTAAATGGGTAAATTATAGTTTGGTTTGAGAATGAAATATGTGTTGTCGAGGGTAATGAAAACATTGGCGAACTAAGTTAAACCAAACAAATTATGCTTTCACAGTTTCACATGCAGTGATGCAGCTATATGCACGTACAAGTAACATATTATGTAATATGTATTTATAATTATGAAGTGAGCGAGACTGATCGATACAGTAGTACGTATGGCTTAAATTAAAATTAGTAAAATTAAAAGGTTTTGTTGTTTTCGTTTCAAAGAAACCGCACGAGACACCATGGAAACAGCCTTCCCGGCTCAAGAAGATACAATAAGCACGTAATCAAAACATGCCTTGAATATATCTAAGTTGGTCTAGTCTGCAGAAGTTGTCGGAGCAATATAGATTCAAAAAAAAATCCACAAGAGTTGAACTGAAAAACATAATGAATATATAAAGGGTTACTCTTTGGCTTGCATGCTATGCCGTTAGATAGAACGCAGTAAAAATGCATAGGGTTTTAAGGCACTTCTTGATATTTTAAAACAAAAGCTGTTGTTTGACATGCCAATATTCGATATCCAGCTGTGAATGTTATTACCTAATGTCTGGCGCATTTAGAAACGAATATACATTGAGTTCGAACAATAATTATAAGTTTATCACAACCGGTTTATGCAAACCAGTCGTTTGTAGTCGCAGCAAGTGGGAAGATATATCATGCAATAGAAGAATTAAATCAAGTTTTAGAAAACCATCTTGCACCAGTTGCACGTCGTACAGGTTCTTCGGGGAATCGATCATTAGTGTCTTCAGCAACCGATAAAATTTACTACGCGACCTGACATTTGAGTTAAGCGTATTAAGTACTAAATGCCATTTAGAATGATTCTCATAAATTATTCCTAAACATTCACTATATTCCTTTTCAATTATTCTAGTTTTTATGTTGTATATATATTCCTGTCTGTCAGGAAACGGAATAATACTGAAAGAGGTCCAATTATTCCTAAGCCTCTAAATTTTGACACAGACAATGGCGGCCTAACCGCATCCAAAGTTGTTTCACGGCTGGAAGGTCAGAGCGTGCATGAATTAATTCTTTGATTGCAAGATGTAATTCCTGTGCAATATGGTTTTCTGTAAGTTATGTTTCGCTTCGGAGTTGCATTTTAAATTTTCTTCCGGAAAAAGTTTTGCAATCGGTAAAAATATTTCCAGAACAACGTTCTAATTCAGTAGTTGCCGAAGGCAGTAGTGATGATAGACTGATTAAAAATTAATTTCCGAAGAAAAATTGCTTCTTGTATTTCAACAAATGCATATTTCCCCCCGATACAGCGATACTATTTTGAAAATATTATGATAAATGTTTTCGTTGATTGGATGAAAACGTAGAACATTGATTTTTTTTTCGATACTATTTTGAAAATATTATGATAAATAGTTTTCTTGATTGGATGGAAACGCAGAACATTAGTAAATGCCCCGCCTCTATCAATTAACTTGCACCCACATCAAAATATGCCGAAAAGCTCAGAGGGTTTCTAGCAAAGGACCAGGCAATGACAGAAATAATTAAAGATAACAATGTGAGAGACGTCTGAAGATAAAAAATTACCAAAAATTCGAATAACATAAACTCATGTCCTTTTCTAGACCATACAAAGAAATAATGGAAAACCTATTTAACACTTCAACAACAACCGCAATAACATCCACTGCGTTCCGTTCCGACCGTCGTACGACAATCGACGAAGATGCCCTTCATTTAAGCGTGACGATCGTGCTCAGCGTGTTCATATTCGTATCCGTGATCGGCAACAGTCTTGTGTGTTTTGTTTTCTACAAGCAAATGGGCCTACGCAGAGTCGTCTACTATCCTATCATATCATTGGCCGTCGCCGACCTGCTGTGCGGGGCGTTGGCCATGCCCGCGTATATCGCGAAAAAGCACGTGCGCGGTGGATGGTGGGAAGGTCTCACCTGCGATGTATTCCGTTTTACGTATTTCTTCACGGAGTACGCTTCGGTGTTGAGTCTGATGGCGATCAGCCTCGAGCGTTTCATTGCAGTCAGCAAACCTGTTACACACAGGTAAGGTCAATATCACACTCGAATTTATGGCTGTTTATGGAAAGGGGGTAACGTTAATTTGTTCTCTTGAAAAACAAAAGTAAACTTTGTAGAGCCAACCAAGATGGCGCCGAATGATTGATTATGACGTCATATGCAAACCAGGAATTATTTTGTAAATTTCTAGGATGTGGTTATCAAAGAAGAAGATGATTGCTTTCCTAACGATATCATGGCTCGACGCCGCAGTTGTAGCGGCCCTACCTTTCTTTTGGCAAAAAGGCACCGAAGACGAACCGTGCGTTTACGACCCGACCCGAGAGTGGAGCTTAATGGTGATTACGACAAACGTGTTCGCGCCCTTTCTCGTAATGTTATTCTGTCACGTGTATACAGTAAGTTACGCGTTGAGATTTTCTCGGAATAGAAAGTCAGAACTCTTAGAGAAAGGGAACAACCCCACGAGCTCGCAATACGAATGGCAGCCGGCGGTCGAGATGAAGGATAAAAACACCCAAAAAAGGGAACGCGATATAACACGTACTTTGGGACTGGTGGTCGGGGCCTTCGTGATTTGTTGGGGCCCTTCAACCTTTTACTATTTTCTCCGAATGGTCTGTCCGCATTGCTTCCAGCCATCATTCAAGAACATCAAACCGATATTCAACGCGGTCGTGAAACTCATGACGTTCCTAAATTCGTGCGTGAATCCGCTGATCTATTACTGGCTCAATCGCTTGCTCAGGAACGCGTTCTACGAATCGCTGTTGGGAAAGGAGAGGATGAGAAAACGAAACGCTGAGCGCGTGAGCGCGATGCTGCGTGAGAACTCACCCGTTAACAGTTCCTCACATAAAAATAGAAGTAGCTGGAACACGAAAAAAAGACTTCTTGACACAAACGACTCCGACGAGAGGACTTCCAAGACTCAAACACTCGTTTGATAGGCAAATATTTTCTTATTACGAAATTCACGGCAGTTTGAAATCATTTCAAAACATTAAATGCTCAATAAGAGCAATAGTTTGTTCGCAAAAAATATTCCCGCCTTTTTTGTTGATTTTAAAAAAATGCACGAATCAATAATCATACGGTTATCCTTACTGTAATTTAATTGTCACAAACTAAACGATAGCGATGATGAGCAGTTAGAAAATAAACAAGACTGTCAGAAGTAAAATTACTTACTTTTGTTCCCTTGTAAAGCAGAAATAAGCTTAGTTGAATAAACCAAGAATCCAAGATGGCGCCTAATAACAAATCATGACCTCATATGTAAACAAAGTATAGTTTATGAAACTGCAAGGTTAAGCCTGAAATTGGCTAAGAGTTTATATTGAGTATACGTTTTATCAGTAAAAAACTGTTGTAAATTCATTTAAGTAGCAACAAAACGAAACGCATCGCCTAGGATTTCATGTCGAAAGTCGAAACCGGCGAGGGATGGTAATTTGAGATGAAAATGCCGATATCGAGCCTCAGTCACCATGCAGTGTAAAAACACCGAAAAGAAATGAGTGTAGTGTAGGTATAGGTCACTTGCTGTATACAATCTCGCACCCAAAGTCATAAATGGAATGTCTATGGACAAGAGATTTAGCTAGACACAGTAAGCGGGCAGTCCTGGGGTTTGTACAGGATGGATAATTTAGAGGTTTGCACATGCAATTCTATTGTGTAGTCATTGGATTGGTGATTGATTTCACTGATTAACACATGAATCTTTAATCTGGATTGAGTATCAACTGTTGAAAACATATTGCAGTCTGACAATATTTATGCTTATGTGCCTTGGATACAGCCAAGGGTACTAATCAGTTTGCTCTTACTGAGGTGTGGTTCTACATTTTATTTTAAAGGAATATGTTTGCACTTGAGGCAGCTGTGACCATTTATATTGATAATTTCATAATAAATATAATTTCATAGCAATTGCAAAATAAAATTGCTTATTCTAGAATATAAGGTTGGTTTACTTTGCTAGCATAAGGTTAATAGGTTGACAAGATTATTATCTGGGGGGGGTTTCTCAGGTACAAAATATGTGGAGAGGGGGAAGGTGACAAAATACCCCCCCCCCACCAATCAAAAGAAAAGGGTTCTTGTTAAACACTCAGTGGCGTAGCCAGCCCAACAATTTACTCATGCTATGCTAATATTTTGGTGTTCATCGACTATGAAAACAATGAATTTCTAAAGAAATGAATAATGATAATAACATAAAATTTGCATAGCATGACTAAATCGTCAGGCTGGCTACGCCACTGTAAACACTTGTGTATAGTTTACACACTTCCCTTTGTTTATCCAGACAAAATCTTATAAACAGACTACATGTATGGGATATATAAAATTTAGAAAACAGTTATCTTTGTAATTTTACTTTTTGCCATTCATGAACACAACCAACCCAATTAGTGTCAAAACAGCAGCAACTATAACATTACGATTAAATATATCCATCTCTTTTGTGACATGCCGTTTTTCAAATTTCTCTTTCATGGCAAAATTCCTTTTCCTCCTTTTCATTGCTTCCTGATTGTACTTAATCATCCAGTCATCAAAATCATAAACAATTCTTTTCCCATGAAAATGCTGTGCTTGCTGTTGTCTATTGGTTTGCTGCGCCTTTGGGTTGTGTGTTATCGATAACCCTCGGTCGTATTTCCTTCTGTCTGGCACATTCCCCAGTACATTATATGCTTCGTTTATCGCAGTAAAATAATCATGTGCCTTTTCAGACTGGTTTGTGTCTGGGTGATAGAGCTTTGACAGCCTGTAATATGCCTGTTTTATTTCATCTTGTGTGGCATTTGGAGTCACTTTTAAAATCGTGTAATAGTTTTGTTGCCCAGTATTAAACCTTAAATTGGAACTCAAACTTCTGCTAAGTGTCAAAGATGCTATTCTCGCTAGCCGGTTGACCCCTTCTCGCTTGCAAAATTTCCCACATATGGACATATTTGAATTGCTATCAAAGCAGCTTTTTCTTGCGATAATGGGCAGTTTTACCGTGTATTTACGTAGTTTAGTATCTATTTACCTTCCGTATCCACCATAATGATATAAAGTAGTCTTTTTCTTGTCATAAAAGTCGTTTTTTTAAGCGATATTTTGGGTAAATATTAGGAGAATTGAGCAACTTTATAATTGAGTATGCACTATCATGCGATCAGCGGAAAACCGTGGTGCAATACTTCAAATAGATGCGCATGCGAATCAGGTGAAAGATACAATGTTCTTTAACGAGGATAAAAAAGATCAACTTGAAATAATAATGATACAATTGAAAGACATTATATTAATAAGGTGTTATATAATACATAATATTGAACTACTGAATTACTAGTAACACGCGTTACCACAACAGAATTGGAACGTGGCACAGGCGGGAGGGAAGGCAACAAGCTTCTTGTTTCAATAAATTTGTTTTGCACCAATTTGTAGCAAGCATTTTAACGGCAACCGGTGCCAATCCCACTTAAAGATTATATCGGTTCCCTGCCCCTGTACTATTATTATATTGTAGTATTGATTAATACTAAAATTGGTACTTAAAACAACCTGCATAGAATTGGACACACAGACAAGCAAAACGCCTCGCTAAACGCCTTATCTTCACCTCGCTAAAAAATTAGATATGCACAAGATTACAAGCTGCGCTAACCATTCTCGTTGTTATTCAATTCATTGTCAGCAAAGTCAAACAGTTTGGATGCTTCTTCCACGGCTGTCTCTGCTTCATCGTCGCTGAAAGCCTCACACGGGGCGACGTCAAACGGGTGACGATTAGGATAACGAGTATTCAAGTAATAGTTGGAAAATCGTTCCACCGATTCCATGGCAATCTCGTCCATTAGACCTGTTTCTTCGGTGAATTTGATTGCTAAATCCTCCACATCGTGAGAGCGTAGCAATTTTCCAGAGATACCACAGTGGTGAAATAGCAAAGCTTTCAAGCATTTCTCCACCACTTGATGGCTCTGGAAACAAGCAATGGCATTATAAGGAGTACCACATCGGAGGAGCCACCTCGCACCGCCCAAGTCACTCTCTGATTGACGCAGCCATCGCTTAGCCTCACCAGGTTCTTTTTCAAAAAATTTCTCATCTTCAGTGTGGTCTTCGGTCCTGAAAAATTCGTTTGATGTTATTCTGGACGCCCCCAAATTAATGGAACTATTTTAGACATAATTTTAAATCTAGTCGTCAAAATATAATCATTATAGTATTCGTGTCTGTTACATCGATCTAAGCTATTTCTACAGCTAAACTACTTGACTGACGTATTCTTGTCAGTAACATCAAAGCTGTTAATACAGCTAAACTTTATTTCGACATATGTTAGAGTACGTGCTCATATATCCAATTAAACAAAAATGGACTAGCGATGGCAACATTACGAAACTTTACAACATAAAACGATAAATTCTGTCTACGTACTCCTCTACGTATATCTTGGTGTTTGGTATGTAAAATTTCTAAAATAACATTTCCTACGGGGGAATATGAGGAAGTTTTGCGCTTGTTTACTTTACCTGGAATCTTCACCCGTACGACCTCGACGACCACCACGTGAACTGGGACCAATACTATATCCCCCATGAGACTTAGCACTACGCTTTTTACCCCTGCCAGTCCCCAGACGTTCACCATTCGCCTCTACATGACTTTTGCTCCCATGACCATCATCATCACTCCCAGAGTCCAATAACATTTCATCGTCCGAGTCTGGGATGTCATCAGCGCTTTTGGATGTACTGCAAGTAATACCAAGTTTATCCAAAGCTTTTGATATTTCGCTTGGCAATGAGCAGTGGAGCATTGCAATTAATCCCTTTTCCTTTTGAATACAATCTCCAAGAATCTGGTTAACACAAGTGGCAGTAAAAGTCAGTCCTCCGTCACCTTTCAATTTGTGTTGCATGTACAATTGCCATTTCCCTTTTCCCTGAACGGCATAACAACTCTCCTCTAAATTCATAAAGACATCATCTGCATCACGACGAATCACATGAACTTTTATGCAATCGAATCCTGCACACTTTATCTCGACTTCCGTTTGAAGTTTCTTTATTCTTTGCTCAAAATCCTGTGGCTTTTGTTGATCGTGGACTAGTAAGCGCTTAAGCCCATCCTGAAATTCATCAGATCGAATCAGATTCTGAAATTGTTCTTGAAATTTGCATATGACACCACCTCGAGCTTCAGGACATATGGAAAGCTTGCTCTCTAGGGCGATTCTTTCCTGGATTATATCAGTGAACTTCACGGGAGTCAAATGCTCTGGAAGTGCATTAATATAGCAATCAGGGGGCTTTTTAAGGCCACACTCTGTGAATCGCAACAGAATCTGAGATTGAAGGCTATTTCTGATATCCGTGTAACGTGGCGAAACTTCGTAAATCATTTCAGAGGACTTTAAAAGTTGTTGACTTTCATTTGGCAAATACAAGACATCGATGCCATCAACATTTTTGCCTTTTTCTAGTAAATTAAAAATAAGACGCATCGCAAACCGCACTTTATTGTCTAGGTCAGAAGAGAGCGTTCCTTCTCCGATCTGTTCGCGAATGGATGTCAAAACGTGTGCAACCTGCAGCGGTGTTGGTTTCACAGTTGCACCGAGCCGTTTAAGAAAGTGCTGTAATTCTCCAAATTCAATTGGTACGGGGTAAAGAAATGGCTGCAAAGGGTATGATTCAGAAATCCTGAACACCAGCTGTTCTGCTTTCACGAACGTTTTACCTTCCTGCAAAAATATGCAGGAATTACCTTTCAGGCGACGACCAATATCTAAACAAACTTCAGTGCATCTGTCATCTGGGTTATGACCGCAGCATTCCATAGTACCAGACAGGAACTTGTAAATCAGTTTCGTGATTTTCTTTAAACGTTCACCATCAACTGATTCGAGGCAAGGTGAGTTGACTATGTTTTGCAGATGATTGAGTACTTTGATATAATCAGGTCCAGAATAAGCAATACCAAGGTTGTTAAACTTTGTGACATCGATTGGTTGGGCCCAGTCTGGAAGAAGTGAAACAGTAGTCCATGATATGAGTCTGCGATTCCACGGAACAGCATCACAGAATGCGATGAAAGGTGGATAGCTGTTTTGTGGACACTGGTACTGCTCGTGAATTAAGGCTAGTTCATCTGCCACTTTGGCTGAGGTAATAAACTTGATTTGCGATACCTTGGAAAGAAATTTTTCTTTTTGCAAGGCTTTTCTTGAAAATAGACACTTCACAAGTTGTTCGGATTGAAAGCGGCTTTGTCGGTCTCTAAAAAAACGTCCATTCATGGCCACCGTTTTACAAAATTGGAGAAATAACAGAGGTGTAACCTCAACTTGCAATCCGATCTCGCGAAGTAATTGTGACCTGTGATCATCATGAATGGCGGCGGAGGAAATTTCTTGAGATCGTCTGCAAACATTGCTTCAAACACGTCGTTGTGTTGGCAGAAGAGATCAGATGCAAAATAGAGGTGCCCATTTTCGTCAGGAATACAAGGAGTTTCTTTCATAGTCTTCAGGAATATGGTTTTGTAAGATGATTTACCTTGTGGCAATGACGGAAATACTTCCTCATTGATGTATTCTAAATGTTTTATTTGACTTTCTCTGGTGAAAATTTTGAAATATTGAAAGACATACTCCACGTAAAATTGTGTGACATTGTGACCGCCTCTAACGCCAAGATCTGTGTAAAGTTCCTTGAGTGTGGATAATGCGTCTGAGCTCAGGAAAAGACATTCCGCTCGATTTTGAAGTGTACGTAGCTGTTGTGTTGGGACACCAGGAGGAACGAGGACATAAGTGGAGAAGTGACCAAGCAAACTCACAAAATTTCCATCCAATGCTTTATGAAACGGCAAATCCTTTACCATTTCCCTGCATTTTTCCAAATTCCCTGACCTTTTGTAGTTATCTTGCACAAACCGAAGAAAGCTACGAATATCGTCTTCGTAAACTTTTGAAATGTCGAGTTCGTTTGACCTCAACATGTGGCAAAGCACAACCAAGACATCCTCCGCGTTATGAGGGTGAGCAACATAAGAATCAGTTATGGCACCAATGTTTTCTGTATTCCTGAAAACTTTTTTCCGAAGGGTAATCTTTTTGTTTAGTACTGGACATTCCAGCTCAGTCAAGAACGTGCGAACTTTCTCTTTTTCAGCAGATTCGTCATTCCTTAGAAGCGCATATCCAAAATATATTTTGCGTCTTGAAGCGTCACAAGCTTTCCACAAGTCGTCGGAACCACTGGCCATTTCGATAGGCAATCTAACCTGACAGAATCCTCACCGGGCTGAGGCCTGGCGTAGTTTTGCAAGAAGTCCCAAAACCGTTTAAGCCACTTTTTTAATGTATTCTTCCAGCTAAGAGTGCCTGTGTTCCATCATCTTCAACAGCTCTTAAGACATTGTTTGTGAACACACCCGGAAGTAGTCCAGCCAAGTTTTCAACTGTAAAATTTCGGATAACATTCTCTTCTGCTTTGGTAGTGCTTCGCGGGAATTGACAGACAATTTCAGCATGAACAAATAAGTGCGCCTGAGTTGGAAAAAGGTCCCCAAATTCTGAAAGAAATACAGGCTGGTTTGGTCGAAAAACTCGAAGGTAGCCATCTTGTGTTAGAAGAAGAGGCAAGCCTGATAGTCTTTGGTCAAAATTGTCATCTTCCCGGCAATACTCTACCAACTCAGACAATTCAGCGATACTGTTAACTGGGGTGGTTTCTAATTTTTTCGGAAGATTTCCAATCACACAAGTGGATCTTTGTGATTTAAATTCTCTTAGGAAACTAATTACGCTTGCAGGTCTGATCCGATTCGAACTTATTCCAGCAGATGCAAAACTGCGGTATATCCGCTTTGGGGCGCGCAGCAACACGGGCAGTCCAATTCTTAATAACAGATGCAAAAAGTCATTCTTCAATTCAGTAGACTCCTTGAAATATCCTTCGTCAGCTGAGAGCCAACTTTGACATGCAAAACTTTGAAGATTGGGTTCCTCGGTATCATCGTTTACCGATATCTCATGGCCGAAGACACAACTTGCATCATTTTCCGACTCAGTTGGAACAAGCAATGGCAACACTTTTGCACTTGTGTGTCCAAGATAACGATACAATCGAGTAGTAAGGACTTCCCACGGAGAATCGCTCGAAACCCTCGGGAACAAATTATGGTAACGTGATAGTTGGCTGTCATTCTTATCATCACACAGATGATTACGAGCTTCTAAGATCAAAGCTGCGTAAGCAGGAGCTAACACACAGCTTTTCATGAAGTCATTCCATTCACATTTTCCTCCTTTCCCATCAGTTTCGGTCCAAAGACCACGTCTTGTGCTATCCAAAGCGAAATGACCATTGATATGAATTGGTAGTGTAGTTCTCTGGGAGAGGCAAGAAGCAATACACTATGCCACGCATTGCTTCTTCCCTCGTGGAGGAGAATTCTTCCTGGTCGGAGAATGTTTCCAATTCTCTGTCCGAAGATGATTCTTCCTTGTTCAAAGACGATTCGGATATGTCATAGAATGATTCCTCCGATTCGGACATTTCTTCCTTCTCTTCGTCAGATGCTGATTCTTCATTGTCCCAGTATAAATCTTCCTTGTCCGAAGATGATCTTTCTTCGTTGGACGATGATTCGTCTACGTCGATGAATGACAGTTCTGACTCAGAAGATGTTTCTACTTCGTCGGAAGATGATTCACCCTTATCAGAAGACGATGAAAGAGTCCATATAGGGGCTGCCAAGCCACCGCGTGGAAGTAGACCGAGCGTCAGACCATTTGGGACTTTCCCGTTTCTCGATCATAAAAGAGGCTTGAGTGTCTGATCCAATACACTTCTGTATCAACCATTTCCCGACTTTCTTCTTGTTTCCTTAATCATTGTGTAACTAATTTCTTTCCATCCAATTCTGCTGTTGAACAGTCGTGAAGATCCACAATTTTTCGTGCTAGCTCTCTCGCTTTAATTCATCTTTGGACAATATTGGACTCAGTCCGATAAATTTTTTGAGCTTGTTGTTATGAATTTTCGAAAATGTTATCTTAAACATGATTTAAAAATAACAACGACTTTTGGGCTTCCTTTTGGAAGGTCTGGAAAAGTTTTTCCATGTCCGGCGACTCAGCGGAAATCTTGGATTCATTTCGTTTTCTTCTCAACGGGAAACGAAACATTGTGCAACCTTCTAATTTGAAATGGTCAGCAAGATATCCGTCGAGTGTACTCGAGTATATATCTCGAAATCTGGCATCCATCGACTGGAATATCTTTCCACGATCATGATCAAAATATCGGGAATGAGGATCGAGAAACACAAGGGTGTCGTCGTTGGATAAAAAGCTGGGACAGTCGGTAAGGTGGTAAACACAATTGAACCCAATTCCATATTTCCCCGTCATTTCTGGAGTATTTCGCTTGCTTCCTTTACCAAGATTTCTAATCCCATCGAGATCTTTTTTCTTAAATGGTCTGTCATTGTACACACAAAGTGCTGGACCTTGTATTTCCGCGGACGTTTCTAACTTTGTCACCACTCTTTCACGTTCAAGAGATCGAGTGTCGTGTATAAAATGTATCTCCGAGGCTTTAGCATCGTCAGCATTTTGCAAAAGTTCCTTCAAAATTCCGTCAGCAGGATATCCATCAAGAATTCCGTTTAGTCGGTCGGTTAGCTCTTCATGTTGTTCGAACGACTCACCATAGCGAATGGGTAGTGCGTAATCATCCAGTATACGATTCTTCAAAGATTTTGCTCCCAGAGCATAGGCTGTTTGCGGTGGTACTTTCTCGTGGACCTTTATATCATCTTCCGGATCTTCAAGCCATAAACACAGGTTGACCACGACATCTTTGCTTCGTCGGAGAATGCTATCAGTGTCCGGAAGTGGAATCTCACCAATGTAATCCTTCACGGCGGGATTTTGTACTTCTATTTGACCGATAAAAAATATTGCAGTTTGTAATTCATCGCCACTCAGAGCACTTCCACGTTTCGTGTTTTCTAGTTCGTAAAGGGCGCTGATGTAATCTTCATCATCAAATGTGTCTTTGATTTCCATCCTTTCAAAAAGAATGCGATAGTCTCTTTTGTAGTCGGATGGTAAGGTGAATAGAAATGGAGCTCCATTTCCTTTGGACGTATAAGCTACTTTATTGCTTCGCACAAACTTGCCTTGAAGAAACAAGCAATTTCGTTTACTTAGCTCGCTCAGAGAACTTTCTACGATCTTATGATTAAAGAATTCGTATATTTTCTGACAGATTGACTCAATTGCGAGCCTTACTCCCGGCTCTTTTTTCCCATTTTCAGTTAACCGGCTCCAAAATTTAATTGCTTCGTCTAACTGTTGAATAACAAACTTATCTTCGGGATGACGGCTTGAAAATCCCAGGAGCTTTTTCACTTGTTCACTCAGCTTCCCACAACCGCTTTCCTTAGATGTGTTTACAATAAGACAGGACGATCCGACAAGCTTGGCATCCTTCGGTAGGAAAATTTCGCTTGACGAAAAAAGCTGTAGTGAAGGGAAAGTCATTGATCCTTTCCAAGGTAGAAGATATGTTCCAACTGGTTTGTTCGACACTGGCAAAAACTTCACATGTTGAAGAAGACTTCGATGTAGATCTAACGGTAGTTCATCTATTCGCTTGTTAATGTAGATTATTAACTTTCGACACCGTTCGAGATCTCTAGTTTTGGCAACCGACTGAGCTCTTTCGTGGATTCCGGCCCAATCAAGATCCTTCACCATACCAAGTGTTTCTAAAACATACAATCTGTTTTCAGTCCGCAGGCCATGTCCAACTGGAAAACGGTGATCTTGCTCGGAAAACAACCCCGCCGCAGCACTGAACGGGTGGATAAGTTGAGAAGGCCTCGATAGGGTTTCTTCTTTTTCTGATACAGAAATACAGGTATTTGCTTTGAAAAGGTCAATTTCGTGGAGACAGTGGCTTGAAAGTGGTTCATCTTTTTTCATAATTCGATCCAAACCGAAGCAAACGATAGCATCTCTTCGGGAACGAGAGAGCGTTTTGATGTTTGCAAAAAAGTAGGACTTCATAAACTGGGTGAACGACAAAGTGCGTCGTTTTAGGATGCCACCTTGGTCGAATTTCGCTAGAGTCTTGAATATCTTAGGGGGTAGGTATATAACATGTATCCCTAGTGATGTTAATACTTTCACTGCTGTCTTGTAGATTCCCGTAAAATCATCGCTCAATATGAGACCGTCGTCGATACTCATCCAGTGTCCATCGCTGTAAAATAACTTCGTTTTTGGATCCAACAATACACTGCAGATTTTCTGAACTAGCTTCTCCCAAGATTTCATATCAACGGTGTCACTGCTTGGCCACAGACTGTAAAATTCGTAATCCTTAATCTTACCGATCCAATCTTTCATGTTTTCAAGAAGCATGATATAAGCTCTGGCTAATGCATCCTCCATCAGTGCTTCGTTCCACTTCACCTCGACGGGTTGGTTTCCTGTAGTCGATCGTTTCCAAATTTCAACGCGATTAGACATGATGGCAAAAAAGCCGTTGACATGCACAGGAAGCCCAGTCGTAATAGACAATGGAAGAAAACAGAACAGTTCCCCAGAAAGATCTGGGTTGGAATTCTGATTAGAAGAAACGACGAACGCTGCCCCACCACAGGGCAAGAAACCACAAGCTTTCCCTTCTTGTGAGCGAGCAATTTTGAGGCAATCCTTAGTCCCACTTGTTGAAACTACAAGCCAAGTTTGATCACTTCTGTATCGACGTTCACATCGGCTTAATTCCGATTGCTCCTTTGTAGTAACAATGTTAACAAGTTCACAACTTGATGGGAATTCACTACAGGACTTTTGAGATTCACGGTATTTTTTCCACCATTTGGAACACTGTTTGATAAACGGTTTTTTGCTTTTCACGCCTTCCTGGCTGACAACCTTAACACTTGGTTTCTTCACAGAGAGCACCAATCGCATTTCGTCTGGTTCGTCTAATCCATCCAATTTAAAGATTTCTACCTCTTTTACATGTTGCGAGAAGATTAAGAGATTCGAGGCGCACTCACAAATGCTACGAACAATAGCTTGAATCTTGTCTCGACCATAAGAGGTTTTGATGATATCACTAGTTCTTGCTTGGGCGGCCGTGCGGAAGGGGAAACGGAATAATGTTCCGTCGTAGTAGAATTCTTCACGTGTTTCCGTTGTGTTGCAACCAAAGACGCCATTGTATGGCTGAAACTGATCCTGGTAACGTGTTAGGGACTCTGGTTTCTCGGAAAGATTGATGTGGATTCCAGGACGGGATCTGTCCTTAATGTGACGTTGTAAATGGCGAGTGTTCGGATCAAATACCACCAAGTGTTCTCGGCTGATGAAACTAGGAACGTCTGTGAGGTGATAGACGGCGTTGAAACCAAGGCCAAACCTACCAATCTTTGAAATATCTTCGACTTTCGTTTCTCCTGCAAGCTTGTTGATGTTTTCGAAATCATCGTCAGTAAACACAGCATCGTTGTAAGCCCACAATGCAGGTCCTTGGCATTCAGCCATGCCAGGGGAGAAAAGACTCCTCGTTCTTCCTTTTCTCCAGTCCACCAAAAACTTGACTTTAGTAGCTCCAGCATCGTCTGCATTTTGAATCAATTCTTTAAAAATACCGACGCCATCTTTGTACTCACGGAGTAAAGTTCGAATTCGAGTTGTGAGTGGTTCATACTGTCCTGTCTGTTCAAAGAGATCTGTTGAAAAAAACGTCGTACAGTAATATCGATGTATTCACAGCTGTTATTGTATAACTATAGGTAAATCAATAAATAAATTGGGGAAAATAATAGCAATACAATTCAGGCCACGACCAAATCTCAAAATTATGAATTGGATCACTATACTATATAAGGTCTTTAAATTAAGGACCATGTTAAATACTGTTTAGCAGTGTTTGCCAACTGGATACTGGACACAATTTAATTTTTACCTACCTTCCTCAAACAGCATTGCCATTTTCCATATATTTCTGCAGAAATGGAAGTAGCTGCATTCAAAGTAGAATGATGTGCCCGCGATTACATAGCGTGACGACCTATGTAGCTCCTTTCTATCAGCTGCAATCACCTAAATTGTCAAATCATGACGTCAAATTTCGGCCGAATCATAAATGCCCAAAAGGCAAATGTTTGCTTGTGCAAATCCCTTCCCCCACAAATCATTCTTCCTAACAAGGTGTCTACATTTGTAAAAATGCAGGCAGAATTCTGATAGTGCCACAGAGATACAACACACATGCAAATAGGCCTTGGGACTACAATTCATATAATAAATGGGACCGCTGTAATTGGCGAAAGCTGGCAAATGTTGGCAAAGTTGAATAAATAAATTCAATCTTCGTTTCCTTGGGGGAGGGGGGTGGGGCGTTAAAATGGTCTTTTGCATGTAGCTATGTTATAGGATTCAGTTACATTCGGCTGAATACTTTGTATGGCGGTAGATTACATAGAGTTATAACCGAGAACTAAATTGAGCAGACCATCATTTCACCCGTATACCAAAGACAAAGTGCAGTTTTTGTATTCTGTATAGCCAATATTCTGTATTTTCAGATATAGTTTTACTTTGTATTTTTTAAAGTCGTCTGCTACCGTGCCAGCCGTGCATGGTTACAAAATAGAATTAATGACTGGGAAACAAACAAATACACTACGATATATAGTCTACCTTTCGCACTGACAGGCCAAAATGTCGTAATAGAATCCGCGAATACACAAGGAATCGAAATAAATATTTTAGGATCTGATAGTTCTAGGCGTCGACAGCTGCAAATCTCAGAATTTAACGCATTATTTACAACGTCTGCATCTCAAGACGCGGGAAGTATGTCAGTAGTACTTTTTGAAACTACAGATGTGTGCGGAATTATTCTTCTAAGACATAATGTCATTAATGACAATGACAATGTTTTCAACAAAGCTGTTGTGTTGTATCAATTTGATGGCGATGTGATTAACAAATACTCACGACATTCCTCGGGACTTAAGTCTACTTCGCCTTGCCATCCTACGTATGATATATACGCTTAGTAACGCAGTGTACATAGTGACTCTACATTGTGGATATGTGGTGTGTTAGTCGGCCTATAGTGTTTATAGTGTTGTGGTGTGTTATAGTGTTGTGGTGTGTTAGTCGGCCTATACTCTATAGTGTGCTGTTTATTATTATTAATTTTATGTTGTCATATTCCCTCTGCGCTTAATTGAATATGAATAATAATAATATGGATTCAAAGCCTTGCCCAAATTTCAACAAATATCGCCCTTTAATACAAGATCCGCAAGTTCCAGCTATGATCTGCGACAATATTGACAAAAATTGCTGTAATTGTACGGTAGAAGACTAACGTTTAACGCTCTAAAAGTCACAGACACAGGTTACAGACACAAGTTTGAACACATATATGACTCTAACATTGTTTTAATATTGATTATATATCCTCTGTACTTACGTTCAGATTCTTGCGCGTATACACACGTTGGCTATGTAGCAAAAGCCTCTTCAAATCTACAGTAATTCGTATTAGTACATAAACGGCCTTTGGACGTATCAGTATTTTAAGAAATCTTGTTTATATCTTTCCTGTAATAATCACTTTCGATTTGAGATGCATGGATTACATGACTATAATTATGTTTTAACCACTTCCGGCTTTATGGAGTCGCGAAGCAAAGATACCCAAAGTAATAAATAGCTAACTTATAGCCTGATCGTGTTCTTTGAATTTTCACTGTCGGTTTTCATATGTCGGATTTCGTATAACAACGAATTTCAACGAATTATGTTATATGAAAGCAGCCTTAAGGAAAAAATAACCTAGGCAATCATGCAACGGGTAGGAATACCGTGATGGCATATTTTAAGGCCGGCCTCCACTTGCACGTACGTACGCGAAAGAGCATGCGCCAATTCGGCCGCACCGACTGTACCTGTAAGTGTAGGCCAGCCTTTGCCTGAAAACCCGTTTCCCAACTGTCATCCGCGTTGTATCACTCTATTGCTATAGAGTGCGTGGAACAGTAGAGCGATTGATGCAGCTTTGACAGTTCTTGCATACCGTGTTTTATTCACGGTAGATAAATATTCAGGGTATATAGATATTCACATGCAGTATATAGATATTCACGGTATATAGATATTCACATGCAGTATATAGATATTCACGGTATATAGATATTCACATGCAGTATATAAATATTCACGGTATATAGAGGAATAATTGAAATTTGAATACCGTGACTAAATCGTCACTACTACACTGTTTTCCAAGTTATCTTCATCTCGCTAAAATGTCAGAGGCGAAACCATTCTCGTTTCTAGCCACTGGTCATTCAATTCCTTCGCAGCAAAGTCGAACAGTTTAGATGCTTCTTCAACGGCCGTCTTTGCTTCATCGTCGCTAAAAGCATCGCATGGGACGATATCAAACGGCTGGCGATTGGGATAACGAGTATTCAAGTAATATTTGACGAATCGTGTCACTGATTTCGTGGCAGTCCCATCCAATCCTGTTTCTTCTGTGAATTTGCTTGCTAATCTAACTACATCGTGGGAGGAGAGCAAACTACCAGAGATGCCACAATGATGAAATAACAAAGCTTTTAAGGATTTCTCCACAACTTGATGGCTCTGGAAACATGCATGGGCATTGTAAGGAGGACCGGATTTGAGTAACCACCTTGCACTATTCAAATCACTCCTGGATTGTCGCAGCCATCGCATTGCTTCTCTGGAATCCTTCGGAAAAATTTTCTCGTCTTCGGTATCATCTCTGAAGCTGGAAAATATTCATTTAAAGTTATATACTACAGGTTAATCATATCAATTAGATGTTTAAAAGACTATATTATCCAGATGGAACGCGAATGTGATCATAATATCATATTACTTGCCCGTACTATAAAAACCCACCCCCAAATTCTACCCCCGAAGCTATCAATTGTAACTACATAATCAATTAATTTTAACTACATAATCGACTAATCAATTTTAACTACATACAATTCTACTGTTGTCCAAATATCCCTATAATTTTTATGTGGGTGCAAGTCGAAGGCTCTTACGAAGGTGAATCCTTGGACTCTAAAGTACCCTTTTGATACTGGACCACTCAGTAGACTTGGCTAAATTTTAATTAAAAATCTCAACTATGCCTCAGGAAGCTCTGATGTGTTTAGATTTACCTTGAGTATTCACCATCTCCATAACCATGACTAGGACCAATGCTATATCCACCATGAGACTGAGCAGTGCGCTTTTTACCCCGCCTATAAGACGTTCTACCGATACCATCCCCTTCGGCTCCACTGAATCCCCCTCCATCTCCTCCGTCCCCATGTTCACCATCACTCTCGGAATCCATTTCATCTTCAGTGAAATCATCGGCACTTCTGGAGGTACTTTGAGTGATATCAAGGTTATTCAACGACACTGAAATTTCACCTGCTGATTTGCAGTTGAGCATTGCGGTCAGCCCATTTTCCTTTTTAATGCAACCTTCTAGAATCTTATTAACACAGGCAGCAGTTGAAACCTTTCCTCCATCGTCAGCTAAGTCGTGTTGCATGTACAATGACCAATCACCGTCTTCTTGTACTGCATAGCAACTCTTCTCTAAATTATCCAATAGAAGACTCGTACCACGTTCGATCACATTGACTCTGATTTTTTCAAATCCAATACACTTCATCGTAACATTCGTTTGCAGTCTCTTCAAGATTTTTTCAAATTCCTGTGGATTCTGTTGATTGTGGACTAGTAACCGTTTGAGTCCTTCTTGGAATTCATCGGATCGCAAAAGATCCTGAAATTGTTCTTGGAAACGGCATACAGCACCACTTCGAGCTTCGGAACATTTGGAACTTTTGCACTCAGAAGCGACTTCCTCCCTGACTACATCATCAAATTTAATCGGAGTTAAATGCTTTGGTAATGCATCGATATAACTATCAGCGGGCTTTTTAAGGCCACACTCTTCAAATTGCAAAAGAATAGGCAATTGAAGGTTCTTAATCACTTCCGTAAAACGTGGTGAAACTTTGCAAATCATTTCAGATGATTTGAGAAGTTGTCCGCTTTCACTTGGCAAATATAACTCTTCAATTCCATCAGGACTTGCACCTTTTTGTATTAAATGAAAAACTTGATACATCGAATAAACGACTTTTTTCTTCTGGTCAGAAGAGAGAACCCCTTCTCCGATCTGTGTGTGGACGGATCTTAAAACGTAGGCAATTTGCTGCGGTGTTGGCCTATCTGTTGCACCGAGTCGTTTAAAAAAATGCTGAAATTCTCTTAATTCATCTGGCACGGGAAAAAGGAATGGTTTCAAACGGAATGATTCAGAAGCTTTGAACACCAATAGTTCTGCATTCACAAAGGTTTTATCTTTCTGTAGAAATATGCATGAACTACCTCTCAGGCGATTGCCAATATCTAAACAAACTTCAGTGCATCTGCCATCTGGGTTATGACCACAGCATTCCATGGTACCAGAGAGGAACCGGTAAATCAGCTTAGTGATTTCTTTTAACTGTTCACAATGTTCACCATCGACTGATTCGAGGGAAGGTGAGTTGACTATGTTTTGCAGATGATTGAGTACTTTGATATATTCTGGTCCAGAATAAGCAATACCAAGGTTGTTAAGCTTTGTGATATTGTTTGGTTGGGCCCAGTCTGGAAGAAGTGGAACAGTAGTCCATGATATGAGTCTGTGATCCCACGGAACTGCATCACGGAACGCAATGAAAGGTGGATAGCTGTTTTGTGGACGTTGGTACTGCTCGTGAATTAAGGCTAATTCATCTTCTACCACAGCTGAAGCGATGAACTTGATTTGCGAAACTTCAGAAAGAAATGCCTCTTTTTGCAAGGGTCTCTTCGTAAAAAGACACTTTACCAGTTCTCTGGATTGAATGCAGGTTTCCTCGTTGATAGGAGAACGCCTGCCATATTCAGCTACTGTCGTACAAAATTGCAAGAATAGCTGAGGTGTGACCGCAACTTTCAATCCGATTTCGCGAAGTAGTTGTAACCAATTTTCATCATTGAACGGTGGCGGAGGAAATTTCTTAAGATCATCTACAAACATTACTTTGAACAGCTCGTTCTTGGGGTCGAAGAAGTTAGCTACGAGATGCAGGCGGCCATTCTCGTCAGGAATACAAGGATTTTCTTTCATACTCTTTAGCAAATCATCCCTCGCAGATGACCCACCTTGTGGAAATGAAGGAAAGACGTTGTCCTTTATATAACGTAAATGTTCCAATTGACTTTCTCTGGTGAAAATCTTGAAATATCTGAAGACATACTCCACGTAAAATTGTGTGACATTTTGACCACCTCTGACGCCAAGATCGATGTAGAGTCTCTCCAGGGTGAATAATACGTCGGAGTTCAAAAAAAGACATTCAGCTCGACTTTGAAGCTCATTTAACTGTTGCACTGGAACGCCAGACGGAACAAGAGCATAAGAAGAATAGCTACCGATCAAACTAACGAACTGTCCGTCCAATGCTTTATGAAACGGTAATTCCTTTATCATTCGTTTGCATTGCTCTAAATCCTCTAACCTATCATAGTCATCTTGCACAAACCGAAGAAAGCCACGAATGTCAGTTTTGGAAACCTTAGAGATGCTGAGCTCGTTTGTCCTCAACATGTCGCAAAGAACGATTAAGACATCGCTCGCGTTGTAAGGGTGGCCAACATAAGAATCTGTTATAGCACAAACGTTTTTCGAATGTTGTTGAAAAGTGATCTCTTTGTTTAGTACTGGACATTTCAGTTTCATCAAGAACTGGCGAACTTTTTCTTGTTGAGCAGATTCATTTCCCAAGGCTGTCATATCCAAAATGGATTTTGCATTCCGAATAGTCACAAGTTTTCCACCTGTTGTGGGAATAATTGGCCATTTCAAGAGACAATTTAGAGGGACGTAATCTTTACAGGACTCAGGGTTGGCGTAATTTTGTAGAAATTTCCATAGTCGTCTAAACCAATGTTCTGACAAGATTCCTTTAGTTGGGAACGTCCATGTTCGACAATTGATTGCCTTCAAAGACATTTTGCCTGTGAACACGTGCGGTAGTAATTGTGCGAGATCTTTTTCGGTAAAACTCCGAACAATATCTTCCTCCGATTCGGTAGAATCTGATGGGATTTGATGGACAATTTCAGAATGAATAAACAATTCAGACCGCGTTGGAATGAGATCCCCGAATGTAGAACGGAACACTGGATGACATGACTCAAAGATTCTCAGGTAGCCATCATGTGTTAATAGCAAAGGTAAGCCTTTCAACTGTTTGCCGAAATTTTCTTCAGCGCGACAATATTTTATTAAGAGTAACAAGTCTGAAACACTTTTGACTACAGTGGCTTGCAGCTTTTTCGGAAGATTTCCAATCTTGCAAGAAGATCCTGTCGAATTGAATTCTTTTAAAAAACCAATTACGCTGTTTGGACTTACTTCGTTCGAAGTCACACCACCAAATCTGAATCCATCGTATATTCGATACGGAGTTTGAAGCAACACAGGGAGACCAATTCGCAATAGCAGATGCAGAAAATCAGTATTTTCATCAACTGGTGAACTGGTGAAATAGGCTTGGTCAGCAGGAAGCCATTCGGGGCGATTGAAACGCGCAGGTAAGGTTTTGTTAGTAATAGCGCTGTTCGAGGTGTAGTTAGACCCACCAAGTTCAGTAGTCCCCTTGTCTTCTGATTTGGTTGGAACCAGCAATGGCAGCACGCTAGCTCTTGTCTGGCCAAGATGCCGATACAATGCAATGGCAAGAGGTGCCCAGGCACTATCTTTAAAAATTCTTGGAAAGAAACTATGGTAACGTGAAAGTTGGTCGTCACTGTCGCACAGGTGCTTACGAGCCTCAATGATCAAATCAGCGTAGGCACGTGGTAATACAGAGGTTTTCATAAAGTTGTTCCATTCACATTTTATGCCTTTATCATTAGTGTCTGTCCAAAGTCCTCGTCTTGTACTATCCAACGCAAAATGACCGTTGACGTGAACAGGAAGATTTGTGTAATTCTGTGGGAGAGGCAAGAAACAGTATACAATACCACGAACCTCCGATTGTTTTTGAACAAACGAGGAACGATTCCATAGTCGAGCTGCAATACCGCCACGTGGAAGAAGACCCAGATTACGTCCGTCCGGGATTTCACCATTCTGTATTAGAGAAGAGTTTGAAACGATCGATCCAATGCACCTTTGTACCAACCATTTCTCGACTTTCTTCTTGTCTTCGTAGATTTTTAGGGTGTAGTTGACTCCCTCCCATCCGATTTCGGCGGTTGGAATGTTTTTGAGATCGCAAGCCTTCCGTCCCAGTTCTCTACGCTTTCTCTCATCCTCCGGAGTGATCACAGACTTAACACAAAATATTTCTTCCATTCTGCCATTTAGATGAATCTTTGATAATGTTATTTTCTTGATATTATTAAGAAATAACAATGACTTCCGTGCGTCCTCTCCCATGGTCTGAAAAAGATTTTCCACATCAGGAGAACAGTTGGATATCTTCGATTCATTTCTTTCTTGTCTCAGGGGAAAGCGGAACATAGTAGAGCCTTTTAAAATAAATTTACCAGGAAGATATCCATCGAGTGTATCCGAGTTGAGATCTCGAAATCTAGCATCTATGGCTTTGAATATTTGGCCACGATCATCATCATCAAAATATCGGGAATGAGGATCGAGAAACACAAGAGTGTCGTCGTTGGATAAAAAGCTGGGACAGTCGGTAAGATGGTAAACCGAATTGAAACCAATTCCATATTTTCCTGTCATTCCTGGAGTATCTCGCTTGCTTCCAATACCAAGATTCTTAATTCCCTCCAGGTCTTTGTCTGTAAATGGTCTGTCATTGTACACACAAAGTGCTGGTCCTTGCACTTCCGCAGACGTCTCTCCTTCAACCACGACCTTTTGACATTTCAGACGTCGAGTATCGTGTATGAAGTGTATCTCCGAGGCTTGAGCATCATCAGCGTTTTGTACAAGTTCCTTTAGTATTCCATCAGCCGGATATCCATCCAGAATTCCTTTTAGTCGTTCAGTTAACTCCTCGTGTTGCCCGAATGACTCTCCGTAGCCAATACGACGTGAATACTTCTTCAAAATTACCTTCTTCAAGGATTTGGCACCAAGATCATGTGCCTTGTGTGGTGGTACCTTCTCGTGAACTTTCAACGTTTTCTCAGGATGTTCAAGCCATAAGCTCAGATTGACCACGACATCTTTGCTTCGTCGGAGGATGCTATCTGTGTCCGGAAGTGGAATCTCGCCAATGTAATCCTTCACGGCGGGATTTTGCACATCTATTTGACCGATAAAAAATATTGCAGTTTGTAATTCATCGCCACTCAGAGCACTTCCACGTTTCGTGTTTTCTAGTTCGTAAAGGGCGCTGATGTAATCTTCATCATCAAATGTGTCTTTGATTTGCATCTTTTCAAAAAGAATGCGATAGTCTCTTTTGTAGTCAGATGGTAAGCTGAATAAAAATGGAGCTCCGTTCACTTTGGACGTATAAGCTACTTTATTGCTTCGCACAAACTTGCCTTGAAGAAACAAGCAATTTCGTTTACTTAGCTCGCTCAGAGAACTTTCTACGATCTTATGATTAAAGAATTCGTATATTTTCTGGCAGATTGACTCAATTGCGAGCTTTACTCCCGGCTCTTTTTTCCCATTTTCAGTTAACCGGCTCCAAAATTTAATTGCTTCGTCTAACTGTTGAATAACAAACTTATCTTCGGGACGACGGCTTGAAAATCCCAGGAGCTTTTTCACTTGTTCACTCAGCTTCCCACAACCGCTTTTCTTAGATGTGTTTACAATAAGACAGGACGATCCGACAAGCTTGGCATCCTTCGGTAGGAAAATTTCGCTTGACGAAGAAAGCTGTAGTGAAGGCCAAGTTATTGATCCTTTCCAAGGTAAAAGATATGTTTCAACTGGTTTGTTCGACACAGGCAAAAACTTTACATGTTGAAGAAGACTTCGATGTAGATCTAACGGTAGTTCATCTATTCGCTTGTTAATGTAGATTATTAACTTTCGACACCGTTCGAGATCTCTAGTTTTGGCAACTGACTGAGCTCTTTCGTGGATTCCGGCCCAATCAAGATCCTTCACCATACCAAGTGATTCTAAAACATACAATCTGTTTTCAGTACGCAGGCCATGTCCAACTGGAAAACGGTGATCTTGCTCGGAAAACAACCCCGCCGCAGCACTAAACGGGTGGATAAGTTAGGAAGGCCTCGAGAGGGTTTCTTCCTTTTGTGATACAGAAATACAGGTATTTGCTTTGAAAAGGTCAATTTCGTGGAGACAGTGGCTGGAAAGTGGTTCATCTTCTTTCATAATTCGATCCAAACCGAAGCAAACGATAGCATCTCTTCGGGAACGAGAGAGCGTTCTGATGTTTGCAAAAAAGTAGGACTTCATAAACTGGGTGAACGACAAAGTACGTCGTTCGAGGATGCCACCTTGGTCGAATTTCGCTAGAGTCTTGAATATCTTAGGGGGTAGGTATATAACATGTATCCCTAGTGATGTTAATACTTTCACTGCTGTCTTGTAGATTCCTGTAAAATCATCGCTCAATATGAGACCGTCGTCGATACTCATCCAATGTCCATCGCTGTAAAATAACTTGGTGTTTGGATCCAACAATACACTGCAGATTTTCTGAACTAGCTTCGCCCAAGATTTCATATCAACGGTGTCACTGCTTGGCCACAGACTGTAAAATTCGTAGTCCTTAATCTTACCGATCCAATCTTTCAAGTTTTCAAGAAGCATGATATAAGCTCTGGCTAATGCATCCTCCATCAGTGCTTCGTTCCACTTCACCTCAACTGGTTGGTTTCCCGTAGTCGATCGTTTCCAAATTTCAACGCGATTAGACATCATGGCAAAAAAGCCGTTGACATGGACAGGAAGCCCAGTCGTAATAGACAATGGGAGAAAACAGAACAGTTCTCCAGAAAGATCTGAGTTGGAATTCTGATTAGAAGAAACGACGAACGCTGCCCCACCACAGGGCAAGAAACCACAAGCTTTCCCTTCTTGTGAGCGAGCAATTTTGAGGCAATCGTTAGTCCCACTTGTTGAAACTACAAGCCAAGTTTGATCACTTCTGTATCGACGTTCACATCGGCTTAATTCCGATTGCTCCTTTGTAGTAACAATGTTAACAAGTTCACAACTTGATGGGAATTCACTACAGGACTTTTGAGATTCACGGTATTTTTTCCACCATTTGGAACACTGTTTGATAAACGGTTTTTTGCTTTTCACGCCTTCCTGACTGACAACCTTAACACTTGGTTTCTTCACAGAGAGCACCAATCGCATTTCGTCCGGTTCGTCTGATCCATCCAATTTAAAGATTTCTACCTCTTTTACATGTTGGGAGAAGATTAAAAGATTCGAGGCGCATTCACAAATGCTACGAACAATAGCTTGAATCTTGTCTCGACCATAAGAGGTTTTGCTGATATCACTGGTTCTTGCTTGGGCGGCCGTGCGGAAAGGGAAACGGAATAATGTTTCGTCGTAGTAGAATTCTTCACGTGTTTCCGTTGTGTTGCAACCAAAGACGCCATTGTATGGCTGAAACTGATCCTGGTAACGTGTTAGGGACTCTGGTTTCTCGGAAAGATTGATGCGAATTCCAGGACGGGATCTGTCCTTAATGTGACGCTGTAAATGGTGAGTGTTCGGATCAAATACCACCAAGTGTTCTCGGCTGATGAAACTTGGAACGTCTGTGAGGTGATAGACGGCGTTGAAACCAAGACCAAACCTACCAATCTTTGAAATATTCTCGACTTTCGTTTCTCCTGCAAGCTTGTTGATGTTTTCGAAATCATCGTCAGTGAACACAGCATCGTTGTAGGCCCACAATGCTGGTCCTTGGCATTCGGCCATGCCTGGGGAGAAAAGACTCCCTGTTCTTCCTTGTCTCCAGTCCATCAAGAACTTGACTTTACCAGCTTTAGCATCGTCTGCATTTTGAATCAATTCTTTCAAAATACCGACGCCATCTTTGTATTCACGGAGTATATTACGTAGACGAGTCGTAAGAGGTTCGTACTGCCCTGTTTGTTCGAAAAGATCTAACCGAAAGAAAAGTCATACGTTTTATTCATGTTAATTGCAACGTTTCTGGTGACATAATTGAAATACTGTTTTCTTTAGCTATGATTTCAATGTGAGTTACGTACCTTCTTCTAATTTTGCAGCCATTTTCAATAAACTTATTTCAGTAAGTATGTAAGCAACAATATGCACTGCAACACTTAATTTGTATCCAAAGTGACACAAAATGAAATCTGTAACTTTTTAACAATCATCCTGAAATTGAAAAGAAGCAGAGGAATTATAGTGACACCAAGTGACAGAATAGGTAGAAACACAGCCTGACGGTTCCTGATCGCCAGTCAGACGATTTTGTCCCGCTTTGTAAATTTCGAGTTATTATAATTATTCATATCTTTAGAAAGTTAGAGTTATTCATGTTTTAGAGGGACAAATCGTCAGATTGGCTACGCCAATGAACACACGTAAACTTTGAAAAGTAATCTGTTTTTGAACAATTTAATTGATATATAATCGATATAATCGAATATATCATTGATACCATTAAATACATCGTCAGGGATTTTAAAACCATAACTTCAAGCTATGTAGAAAACAGTATTTATTATATGTGTATAGAGATTTATGCACAGCAGAATGATGAAATAAAAATCGTATTTCACTGTGTAAATTAATTTCATGCAATTTGATTGGACGTACGACGTTTTTCACGTGTGAAAAAATGCCATACACGGCTTTTGATTGGACGTACGATATTCTTCACACGTGAAAAATTGTCGTATGTCATTTTGGCAATTTTGGCGGCAATTTGTTTACATTTTCTTTCAAGATGGCGTCGAAATACAGGAGTGAGATACAAAACATAATTCTCATATTCAAGATATTTTTACATTCAGCACATCTCAAATCTTTCGGAAAGAATGCCCAACTTCTATTGAACAAAATTACAAAGAAACTGAACGGTAATAAATATGTTTTCATGCATAGTTTCGATTTTGTTGTTCGCTGTGTTTTTGTATATTAAAAGCGTGTCGTTGTCAAATTGATCTCTATACACATTTAATAAACAAACTAGGTTACCTAAAGGCAGTAGTGCTGCCTATACTCTTATAGAAATAGCATGCGCAAAATGCTTGCTTGTTAAAATTCATTACCATGTTACGCAAATTATAGTCAAATGTTATACGACACTTCAAATTACAATAGATCAAAGGTCAAATTCCAAATGCGCGAGGTATTTGTGAAACTAAAACCCTGAGGCTTTAGCCCCTTAAATAAAACAATCAAAGAACTAACTTAAAAGTTAAATACTTATACATGCTTTAGTTACGCCACACAGGTTTACCCCAATGATAAAAGTAAAAGAAAATATGTTTCAAACCTTTTAAAAAAATCGAAATGACAAAGCTATAAAACAAGTGACAGTCAAATGTTATACGACACCTTAAAATCACAATAGATTAAAGTTCAAATTCCAAACGCGCAAGTATTTGTAAAAGACCAAAAGCACAAGACTCCAATTGCCAAGTAACGGTATGGTTCACCACGTCGCTTTTGGTGTCCGTTTATACAACAGTGATGCGTCATGCGAGCACAATCTCACGGCTAACTCAGTGTCTGCCTTCCAAAAACACTTTGAATTTGAAACACTGACCGTATAAAGCATGGAGTCGTTTTATAGTATACCGACCGCATTGCATTGTGGTAGGAGATCTTTTACCACAATGCAGTGCGCTATTTCGTAAATTTGCTTCCCCTACTACACAAATTAGGGACTGGCGTAACTCAACTAAAGTATATACCAGGGGCCGGTTGTTCGAAAGGCGTTTAGCTTAAACGGTGGATAAGCCAAAGTTTAAAAGTACTCTCATGGATCTTGTGAATGACTGAACTTGCATCTTATGCGTTTAATTTGTACTTCCATTGAAAATTAAACTTTTTACATCAAAATATTTCAGCTCGGTTGTTCAATAAATCGATAAATTTGTTTGCCATTTTGAACTTATCCACCGTTTAAGCTAAACGCCTTTCGAACAACCGGCCCCAGGGGCCGGTTGTTCGAAAGGCGTTTAGCTTAAACGGTGAATAAGTTCAAAATGGAAAACAAAATTATCGATTTATTGAACAACTGAGCTGAATTTAATTTTATTCCATTTAATTTTCAATGGAAGTACAAATTAAATGCATAAGATTTAAGTTTAGTCATTCACAAGATCCATGAGAGTATTTTTAAACTTTGGCTTATCTACCGTTTAAGCTAAACGCCTTTCGAACAACCAGCCAGCTTTTCGTCACACTAGCTGTATGAAGTGAAATTAAACTGAACAATTATATTTCTCTTTTATTATCACTCGAAGAGCGTAAAAATAATTAGTTAAAAACCAAATAAGGCATAAGGAATCGAAAATTATTGAAATTGATTTGCAAATATCTCGGGTAATACTAGACGTAAGTGCTCATGTTGCATCACAAAATTTAAGTTACGCGTTTGTAAGAGAACTGTAGTATTTTCGACAATAAATTAAACGTTGGAACTTTTTTGCGCAAAAAATTACGGCTGTATTTGATCCCTGTAGCAGGTGCCACTCGAATTTAATTAAATACAGAACAATACATTGATGCTTGGAAATATGGAATTTATTTCAAGTGTTAGAGAATATCTTTCTGAACACGAGAAATAAATTCCATATTTCCAAGCATCCATGTATTATTCTGTTTATTATATAATGAAAAACTGGGTGTTTTGAAGAAGTTTTTTATTCCTCTTCCTGATTCCAGATCGGTGGATCAAACACGATAATCGCACATGTGTTATTATCATGAATGATTAATCACACATTGTTACTATCGCTTTTCAAAATGGCGGATTCGTCATATTATATAATAAAGATAAATCAATAATTGTACCCCGAATCTAGTGAATTGGCTACTGGTGTTTAAATGAGAGCTCGTATACATCAGAGCATTATGCTAAACGAAAATATACTTTTTTGAAACCGTGCTCAAATTTCAACAAGTACGTACACAATGAATATCGGCCTTCTTACTTCCTACTTAAAATTACAGCCCATAGTTAACATTCATCCATCCATCCTAAGATGTACATATTGTTATATACAGACATTACGAAAATATCCAAGTCCAACGCTTCAGACGTTACTACAGACACACGTTAAACGAACCATGCATGCAGACGATACTAATATCGAGGACACAGATTATCTTTAGACTTCACTTACCTAACTATTTGCCTGTCAAAAGGTATAACCTTAGCGCAATGCTGCCAAGGCATAATTTGGATCGACGTTGAGATGTGGCTGTTAAATCCAGAGCAAATGAATCAGACATCGTCACATCGTATAATCGCTTTCGATTTGAGCTGTTTAGTGGTAAGGTTAACCGCTCGGCCGCGGCTCGGCCGCTTCCGCTTTCTCGGATAAACAATGCAGATTGCAGAAGCGCCTAGGACGTGATGAAACTAACCGCACTTCAGTATAGGGCCTATTCTGGCAGGGATAGTAATATTACATTATTGCTCACTTGTCTCGGTCAGTTTAGGGGCTGTTTACATGAGCCCGGTTACCCGAGATTCAACGAAGCGTGAGAGGACTTTGAGGTATTGAAATAAGTCTTTATGACACCAAACAAGCACATGCTAGTGTTGTGGTGATTATACGACTGCCAAGATCATGTTATCTGCTCATTTCAATACCTCAAAATCATCTCACGCTTCGTTGAATCTCGGGTAACCAGGCTCATGTAAACAGCCCTTAAGAATGATTAAAATGGTTTTAAACTTGAAGTGCATATCTGTACGACAAAAATAGACTTTCTTCGCCTACGAGATATGCAAATATGTCCAAGTAAACATGGATGCACATATGTATGCATGCATAATAATCCGTAAAACGTAAATAAATTATACAGGGTGTCCCTTGAAATCATCTATTGTTAAAATTTGAATGACTTTTGTTCGCAAATTTTTGCTCGTGGGCATTAACGTAACTTATCATCTCATCTATTGTTTGAATTGCGTTCGACGCGACCAAAACGCGACGTAAAACCTAAGCCTTAGATATACAGGATGTCCCAAAAAACCCCCAAACCATTAAAATCACCTATAACAATGTAATCCCTGGAGTTTAATTGCCTAAGCTCATTAACACCTCAATATCTTTTGTTTGAAATGCATTCGACGCGGCCAAAATGCGACGTTCAATAGCTGCCTTCTCAATAGTGAAATAAAATCACGCGTATGGAATATACATGATAGGATGACGAGCGACGCAGCGGAAATTGGTAAAACTTACCCGCAATTCTTAATACTTATACTAGCTTCAAATTTGGGTAGCAAAAAGACTTACAAATGCCCAACGAAATATGACTTGCACAGAAGATTTGAAGCTTGCACACGGTAAAAACGAACGATGGAAAACGCCCGCGCACAATCGTTCGGAATAAAGCTTTAATTATTTCAAATAATAAAAGACAATGTTTCAATCTGCAACGTTTAATCAAGGCTTAACAATCAACGGCTTCAACTTTTGCACTTGGCATTTAGTTTGTCGAATTAATAATGATTTAAGGCACTTTCCATTAAGCGGCCAAAATGGTCAGAGCGGTCATATTTTAAATTGAAATAAAGTATTTCGTTAAGAATATAGGGATAAAACTATACTTTCCCGTGCTAGGCAGATGTAAATAACGATATACTTGAATTCAGAGTTCTTGAAACACTCTAAAATGCCAGTAATCTGTCTGTACTGAAATACAAGAGGACCAGTCTGGCCGTTTTTCCGTATAAAGGAGAGCGCCCTTAGATCAGTTGGTATAACATTATTTTCTCTTTTACAGAATTTTTGCCCGTGAACTTTGCTATTCCGGACGTTTTTTCTGCTTCCTGCTGGTGATGCATTCATCTACCACTATACCACAATGCCAAGTGTTTCAACAACTAACCAATTCATGCTTGCTGGTCTAAATCTTAATTATAGTTCATTTGTCCAATTGGTAAATCAGTAATAAAACGTCTTTCCAAGTATTCTCCCCATAAAATCGCTTTCGTGCATACATGTCCTACTAAAACTAATTAATTTTGTCATGCATTTGTCATCTGTTACAATAATTTAAGGTATTTGGTCAGTTAAAATTAAAACGTAAAAATACGAATGCGTGATAGAAAGCCTAACATATTTCGTAGTTTCTCAAACATCAACTGTAGAATCTTCCACGCAGCAAAGTACGAAATAAACTTTAAACGGCTTCAATTCTATTAAACAACTTTTGTTCGTGCAAATTTTCGGCAGTCAATTTTTTCTGAAAATAATTATTTATATTCGAATACCGGACGCCTTCACAGTCTTGTTTGATGTGAAGGCTATTATAGTATGACATCCCGAAAGCGATGTATACCATAAAAATTGAAATTCGACAGTTAGAAAAAAATTGGTTCGTATGAAAGGACTATTCGAATTATGCTAGGCGTTCTTTCTTCGAATCACGTCGCCGGATCCGACACTCCAGCGAATTCAAAAAAAAACAAAAGAATAAAAGGTACATCATAGAAGCTGTTTACTTATCTATCGTCAATCAATCTTTAAGAAAATTTTCAACAAGATGTGTAAATACTTTCGAGGCTGCATTAATTGCCCTCTGTGCTTCATTTGCGTCAAAGGCTTCAGCAGGAACGATATCAAACGGTTGGCGGTTGGGATAACGGGTGCTTAGGTAGTATCCGGCAACTGTTCTCACCGACTGCATCGCTGTGTCATCCGGTAGTTCTGTTTTTCCCCTGAGCGCCATCGCCAGATTCTCCACATTGTGAGAACTAAGCAATTCACCAGGAATACCACAACTGTAGAATAACATTCCTTTCAAACATTTCTCCACCACTTGATGACTCTGGAAACAAGCAAGGGCGTCGAAAGGTGGACCGGCTTGGAGTAACCATTTCGCACTGTCTAAGTCGCTCATGGATTGCTTCAGCCAACGAAACATTTCACCGGGATTCTGTGGGTAGAATCTTTCATCCACCATTCGATCGGTTGTCCTGAAAAAGACAATGAAAATTCAAATTTTCATGCGTATATCAGGTGTTCCAAAAAAAAAAATATTAAGCCATAGCATGTGACGGGTGGTGTTATTCTACACGCTGACATGCTGTGGAAAGCCTAGGCACCATTACGGGCTTTTTTTTTAAAATTTTTTCATTATCAATGGTTTAAGTGGAAGGAGTGTTTTCATATATTTTCGATAAAAGCTAGTACAATCAAAACACTGCAAAAGTTCAAAAATCTTAACATAATCAAAATAACTATCTCACCATTGATGAAGTAGACCAGCACCATCATCATGACCAAAAGCAAGGCCACGAGAGTGACGAGACCTACCATGTTCAGCCTCATCTAGTTCAGATTCATCGTCAGACACATCGGAGTCATCAGCAGTTTCCCAACTACTGTAAGCAATATCAAGTCTATCTAACTCTGCTGAAATTTCACTTGGCAACGAGCAGCTAACCATTGCAATCAGACCCATTTCTCTTTTTATACAATCTCCGAGAATCTTGTTAATACAGGAAGCAGTTGAAAGGAATATACGATCATCTTTAAAATCGTGTTGCATGTAAAATGACCATGTGTCATTTTCCTTCACCGCGTAGCAAACCTCCGCCAAAGTATCCAACACTTCGTTCGTTTCACAGCGGATAATATCTATTTTTACCCTTTCGAATCCTACGCATTTCATCTTAACATCCGTTTGCAGTTTCTTTATGACTTCTGCAAAGGCTTTAGGCTTCTGTTGATCGTGACTTAGTAGGCGTTTCAAGCCTTCCTGGAACTCGTCGGATTGCAACAGATCCTGGAATTCTTCCTGGAATTTGCATATGGAGCCATCTCGAGCCTCGGGGCATACTGAACGTTTGCACTCGGAAGAAACGCTCTCTCGGACAATATCACCGAACTTTATTGGTGTTAAATGCTCTGGTAAAGCATCAATATAACTATCTGCAATTTTTTTCAGGCAACATTCACCGAACCGCAACAGAATTGGACGCTCAAGATTTTTGACTACTTCAGTAAAACGAGGTGAGACTTTGCATACAGTCTCAGAGGATTTAAGAAGGCGTCCGCATTGTGTTGGCAAATACAATTCATTTATGCCATCAGCACTTTGGCCCTTGTGTAATGAACGGAAAATGACACGCATGGCATATTTGGTTTGTTTCTGTTGTTCAGCAGATAGCATCTCTTCTCCGATCTGTTCGTGAATGGATCTCAGTGCGTAGGCGATCTGCTGTGGTGTTGGCCTTTCTGTTGCACCAAGTCGTTTGAAAAAATGTTGCAATTCCCCAAATTCAGGTGGCACAGGAAAGAGGAATGGCTTCAAATGGAATCGACTAGATACTCTAAAAACAAGCTGTTCTGCTTTCACAAAGGTTTTATCTTCTTGAAGGAAGATGCATGAACTCCCTTCCAATCTTGCACCAATATCTTTACAAACATCTTCACAACTGTCATGGGAATTGGTAAAGGAGCATTGCATAGTATCCGACAAAGACGTATAAATTGACGTGGTGACTTTACCCAAAAGTGAACTTTCACACGACTCGAGACTAGGTGAACTGACAATGTTTTGAAGATGATCGATGACTTTGGTATATGCCGGACCAGAGTCAGCAATGCCAAGGTTGCTCCATTTATCCATTTCGTTCGGTTGCGCCCAGGCTGGGAGAACTGGAACAGTAGTCCATGAAATATCTCTCAAATGCCACGGCACTGCATCACGGAACTCAATAAAAGGTGGATGAATATTTTGTGAACATTCATACGGCTTGTGAATTGAGGCAAGTTCATCTTCCATTGTAGCTGACGCAATAAAACCAATTTCAGAGATTTTAACTAAAAATTCCTCGTTCTGCAAAGCTTCCTCTGAAAACAGACAATTGACTAACTCTTTGGACTGCTGGTGATATTGTTCGCTTTCGGGAGAACGTTTTCCATTTATGGCAACCGTTTCACAAAATTGCAGGAAGCACTGAGGAGTGACATCAACTTGCAATCCAATTGAACAAAGTAAGTCACGCCAGTCTTCATCGTCGAATGGCGGAGATGGAAATTTCTCTGGGTCGTCTACAAACATTGTACGAAACACAGCATTTTTTGTGTCGAAAAACTCAGATGCAACACGCGGTCGGCCATTTATGTCAGGAATACAAGGAGTTTCTTTAAAACTTTTTAGAAATGTTTCCTTTTCACGCGAGTAACCTCTTGGGAGTGACGGGAAGATGTTTTCCTTGATGTTTTTTAAATGTTCTAGTTGACTTTCCCCAGTGAAAATA